TATTATATCAACATGGATAAAAAAATAAAAACGAAACATTGAAATGAAAATGTGTCTCGATACATTACACGAATACCCTTCTAGTATAAAATAATATATAGGAAGGGTTCAAATTAGAACCCCAATTGGTCTTCATTTATAACATCGAATCATTCTCATTATGCATACAAACATTTCTTGAATACCATTTTTATTTATGTTTTGAAAAATTCATGTGGATGACATCAATAATTGTTGTAAAACCGAACTTTCATGTGAATCGTGTGGTTCTCAATAAATAAACATCATATCCAATACCATTGTCATACATCAAGATTTATTAAAATATTAATATCATGTTTAATATAGAAAATACATCGACCAAAATAAATTCAACCCCAATTTTTTATGAATACCCAACTAGCATCACCGAACGATGTATTACTTGCACTTACATAGAATCCAGTTGGTCGTACAGACCAATAACAAACAAAATTAGTAAATGCGGGTACTGCACATATGTCTACAATCTTCGTATCAAACAAAGCCAATTCTTGATATCTCGAACCCCACCAAAAGTAGCCATAGAAAAGAGTCTTGCCATCAAACCTCTTACAAAATGACCATTCATATTCTCCGTTAAATGAAATGGTATGCTTTCCAAGATCATCGTCTCCAGATTTGATATGAGCGTCAATGGTTTCCGATATCTCACTCGTAACGTGAACATGCCATTTACGGTCTGGGAAACACGCATGAGTTATCGAAGCACATGAGTATGTTAGGATGGCAAAGATGAACAAATGACGCATCTCCATATTTTCAATTTAAGTGTGTATGAGTCCTAAATATACATACATAAATATATATATATATATATATATACACACACACAAACATCTGTATATAATTTAAAGCTCTTTTAAGATCATTTAAATATGTTTCTTCCGTTTTAATGTTTTCAATAACTATGGTCTACGTTGCATACTAAAACTCATTGATTCAGGAATTGAAAGTGTTAATTGATTCAGGAATTGACAGGACCGGCAGAGGACCGGTAGAGAACCGGGACCGACTTAGGACCGGCCCGGTCCAGGACCCTATATATGTTATTTTGAGAAGTGTTAAATATTTGGGAAATAAATAAGTGATCAAAACCTTTTATATGGTCAATAATTGCGGTTTTGACTAGTAAATGGTTACGACTTTAACTAGTTATAAATTGCGGCTTTACAAATAGACGACAAACATGTTCATATATGAACCTATGTGATTCGCATATGAACTATTTGTTCATAGTTCATATGTAAACACATGTAATTCACATATAAACTATTTTGACTGATTCACATATAAACATGTATGATTCATATATAAATCTATGGGTTCATATGATGATCAGTTAAAAAGTTGACATGTGAACTAATTAACGGGTTCACATATGGACATATAGTTCATATAAGTATCATATGGATTCACATATGAACATATAGTTCATATAAGTATCACATGGATTCACATATGAACGCCTTTGTCGCCTATTTGTAAAGTTTACGAAACTACTCATCTATCTTTTGCATACCCATGTGAAAAATTATCCGGTACTTCACAGTCAAAGCTGCAAATGTTGACCAAATGAAGCGCTAAGATCACTTCTTTACTTCTCAAATATTTACCACTTCTCAAATGAACTTTTCCCTATATATCTATAGAGGTGAAATCATTTGTTAACCAAGATTTTAGTGTTAACTACGTAAACTTAATGGACAAATAGGAACCATTCTTTGGTATAGGTTAAATTGAAGGTCTATAATGTGGTTTTGATAAAGATAATGTTTTTACTTTTGAATAAAAATAAATTTGAAGATATCAATTAAAAAAATATATCGATATTAATATCAAATTAACTATTTAAATTTTTTTCGTTTTTTGTATAATTTCTTTAATTCAATTTTTTTATTGTAATTTAATTTAGGTCTAGTATTGAAGTAATTTGTTTTTGACTTAACAATATAATTTTTATAAAGATAATGATTCTGTTAGAACTCAATAATTATCCTAGTTATATTTTAAATTTTTTTATATTTAAAATGAGATGTTTATCATGTATTTGATTATGTTTATCTATGGTTAGTTATACGAATTCAAAAATGAAGCTTTAATAAGTTGTACTTATGCATAATTTACTTGTAATCTTAAATTTTAAGTAATATGCATTAATACACAGTACTTTATGCATAAAGAATGGTTTTTAAGAGTTTTTTGTCAAATACTTTATAATATAGTATTTATATATGTGTATATGTTCAAACGAAAACATTAACAATAAAAAGTAAAAAAATAAATTATAATAAGTTTTTATCACTCATTTAATAAAAATAACGTCTTAAATAAAAAAATTCTAAAAAACTAAAAAAAAAAAGACATAAAAGTAATTTATGTTGGTAAGATTATTTCATTTAATTAAATAAATATATCTCCATAATTAAGTAATTGTTAATCATCATCCCATGATTTTATATATTTACTTTTCTGGATTAATTCATTTTTATTTTTTCAAATCAGTCATCAACCGATACATATATTTCCAAAAAAACTGTACTGATATAATTGATAATACAATACATATTAATCATGTGATACTTTATACGACTACATTTGATTCAGTACATCAGAATGGGTAAAATAGTCATGTCATCATTTACAAGATCACATAAAGTGATCGTGTATAATATGACATGCAAGTTATGTGTATAATATCATATGACATGCATGTTGTGTGCATCACATGTGATTCACCAAATTAAGACTAGAATGATAGTTATATCATCATTTACAAGATCACAAGTGATTGTGCATATGATCATGGTACTGGTATATGATCATATACATGATCACATGCGATTGTGTATGATATGACATACGTTTTTGTGTGTATCCTATACAGAAGCAGATGTGGTTGTGTATGTGATATCATATAGGATCATGTGGGAGCATACATGAAACCATTTTTAATCCTACAGATCATTTTTAGGATTTGATCTATTTTGCAGCTAAAAACCGTTGTTATTTGTACGCATACATGATCACATCATTGCATGTGATCGTATATACACTGTCACATGTGATTATGCATAACGTTATATTGAAAATGAATGAAAAAAAAATACAGCAATATGAGTATCAAATTGAAGAGAACAAATCAACATTATTTATGTGTACTTTGTTTAGTTCCAGTTTTTACCAATTTTTAAATATTTTAGATTTAAAAAATTATAAATAAATGTTTTAAATAACTTTTATAGAAGCAAAGGACTTTTATACCCTTATTTATTTACTCTTACGATTTTTAATTAAGGCATTATTTTATGAAATGAACCATAAAATTCCCAAAAATACCATGTGACGTCACACTACAATATTTACAGATGTTTGCAGACATCGTTATCCTCAAGACTTGGATAATATGAAATTACTTATGTTAAACATGTAACAATTAATACTACATAATCTTTATGTTCATGTACATGCTTTCTGAAAAACTATTAATCACATTCTTATATTTTTCATACAACATCAATTACCATAATTTAAAATTTTAATTTTAATTTTTTCAAAGTATATAATATTTATATACAACAAAATAGAACAAATAAACTCACACTCGCCTGAGTTTTGAAACCCTTGACCTGCTAAAAGACCAAAGATTCACATACCACTAGGCCAAAGTAGGGATGACAAAAAAAAAACCATGAAACCGATGGTGAAAACCGAAAACTGAAACTTTTGGGCCGGGTTCGGGGACGGGGCAGGGATCGGGGAAAAATTCAGGGATTTTAACGGGTACGGGGGTGGGGATGGTGATCACTGACCCGGCCCTGCCTGATATTTATATATATTAATTTTAATTTATATACATACATATATATATATATATATATATAATATCATTAAAAGAAAATAGTAACATTAAAATTTTAAAAGACTTTTATCCATTTTACCTCAACAACTCAAATAAAGCTCACGGAAAAAGTCTAGTTATTTTGTCTAAAACCGTGATATTAGTTGTATGATATTTGAATTTCTGTTTAGTTTTATATTGTAATCTAATACATTGTTTGTAATTGGTTCGATTATGTTTGAGACATTTAAACTTACGTCTTTAAAAGAAATTGTAATATACTTTTAATTGTGAAAATTAACATGTTGTAATTTTTTCCAGATTGGTTTCGGGTTCGGTTATAACAAAGAGGATTTTTACCCTTAACAGGTTCCCCAACGGGGACCCGATAAGATCCCCGACGGGGATCGGAGCGATTACTGAGACGGTTTTAGCTATTGATTTCAAGAACGAAGATACCAATATCCAGCACGAACCCAACCCGTTGCCATTCCTAGGCCAAAGGCCCTTTAAAATTTAAAATTTAACTGAACATAAAAAATAGATTGGTCTATCCTATGTAATTCCCTTAAAAAACTTGCACATTTTAGCAGTGGTGGTAACAATTCTATGGTCCTTAACCTACAAGAATATAACCCAAACTTCTATGGGATGTAGGGTACCCCACAACTTTTCCACCCATCATGCTAAAAGTCAAAACCCTATCAACAATTACAAACCATCATCATGAAATTCTTTGTGGGACAATGTACAACTTTTAATCCATAAGGTACAAGTCATTATAACAATTTTACGAATTTTACGCAGGCTACCACTTTTTTCCAGGGTTATATTCAACGAATCTAAATAAAAGTGAAACTTCAAATTGTTACAGCTGAAAAAGATTGACGTCACCATCTGGAGCGTCCTCGCCAGACTGAATAGTCGACAGTAAGTGGTTTGAACTAGAGACCTCCTTTTATGGATGCCCTGAATCCTACAACACCAAGTTACTATAATTGTATTGCTCCAGAATTAAGAATTTTGTGAGACCCATTTCGTCATTGCTGATCATTTCCATGTATCTGCAATGTTCTTTTTTAGTACTGCAGATTCTTGATATCTGTTAAATTTTAAGTTGTAACTTAAAGCGTCCATGGTAAGATACAACTTTCGATGCTGTTGGTACAAGTGTTTTTTATGACGTTATTGTGTAGGATCTTGAAATGATTGGTTTGCGGAAGATAAGGGTAAGACAGAGTTGTAAGTGATCGATTCGAAAGTATATACAAGTTTTAATACATAAAGTACAAGTCATTATAAGTGTCCAAACAAGATTAAGACATTACCTCATGTGGCTACAAGAGAAGGGACAAAATGTAGCACACACACATACTCTTGACTCTTGAGCATCATGTGCTTGGACAGGTCCATGACCTTCCAAGTAGGGAATGCCAAAATGTTTTTTTTATTAATAAAATTGCACAAAAATTATGTAATTAATATTTTAATTTTTTTAATTATATATAGGTTGATTCAGATAAGAAAGCTAAATATCATGAGAAAGTAAGAAGGAAAGGTTCATATGTGAATTATTGAAAAAAAAATCAAAAAGAAAATCTATTTGAAAATGCATATGTAAACCGAAGTTATGTATTTATTTATATGAGTTCACATATATATATATATCTTTAAATGGACTATTTTAATTATTCGTATATGAATATTATCTATACTACATTAATAAGCATTTAGACCAAAAGTCTTAGTTACAAGTTTCAAAGCATAAAGTACTATCAATTTATGCAAGAGATTCAAAAATCTCTTAAGTACAAACTATTATGTATAATGTACAAATGCTTAAAACATACCATTTGTTTGGTCAAAGTTTCAGATTGAAATAAACCATATTTACATGAAAAATGTATGGTTGGTCTTCCGAAATTGTTTGATTCTTTGTTTGTTTCTTATTTTGAACCCAAATTCAAACTCAAAGTTTTTATTTCTCTTGAAGTAAACTGAAAGTCAAAGCAACAATAGTAGAAAGGGTTTCAGATACTGCATATACCCCACCCCAACCCTTCAACTTTATATGGGTTTAGAAACTCAACATGTGTGCAATTATTTTTTTCAATCGATCTTACTAATACACCATATTAGTCTTCAACTTTATATATTAGTTGACTTGTAAAATAACCACACAAACTCATGATTCAAGGCTAAACTAATGTTTCAGAATTTTGTTTCACCCGTGCTGCATCGCGCATGTACACCACTAGTTTCTCAATATATATACATGTGATTTGTCTGATTTCGTGTTCTTTTAAATAGGTGTCATTTTCGCTTGATCTCTCTCTCTCTCTCTCTCTCTATATATATATATATATATATATTCAATTTTTAATAAATTCTGCATTAATAAATAATATAAATTAATTTTAAGATTTTTCAAAAAAATTAATTTTAAGATTTTTCAAAAAAATTAATTTTAATAAATATTTAATAATATAATATAGATAATACCAAAAATTATTAGATTGCTTGCAGGCAATCATTTATGCCTTCAAAAAAGCTACCTATATAAACCATTACTACTCTTGACGTTCAACCCTCTTTAAACACCCATCTCTCTCCCCCATCATCTTCGGTTTGTCGGTTTTTTGTGACGATGGAGACAAACCCGACGGCACCGCCCACGTCGAGAACGCATATCAAGGACGACAACCGTCATTTGCTCCACCACCACCACGACGCTTTCCCAGCAACCACCATTCTTGTGGTGGTGATACCCGTCGTCATCATCATTTTACTCATCGTAATCTCTCTTATCGTGGCATTGCTCCGCCGCGTAAAGTCTTCGAAGCCGAACGCAAACAGCCAGGACAACACGAATTGCATGTTCGTCGCTCATAGCATCATAACGTTCAATGCGAACCCAGGTAAGTAAGTTACGGTCTCGAGTTATCTAATTTGTGTATTTTAGTTTCTTGAATTGCCCTTCGTCTTATGGCTACGTTTGGCACACTAAGGGGTTGTTTGTTTACCTTTTAATAGTTCCATTAAGAGGCAGTCTCTGAATCGTTAAGAGACGAATCTTGTTGATCCCTCTTAATGGTTCTAAAACTCTGTGAATGATTTTGTATCAAGGGCATCCCTTAACCATTCAGCGCCTTAATTTTTTTGTAAACAATTACTAAACAATTATATTTCATTTTGCACTATATCATGAGAGACTCTTAATCATTCTGCATCAAACCATTCAGCAACTGTCAAACAGCCCGTAAGTGATAATTAAGCTAGTCAGGTATTAAAAAACTAGTTGATAAGTCATATGACAATGTATAGTGGTTTATTTATTTAATTTTAAGTATATAAAAATAGCATAACTGATTTGATTACAGAAATGTAAAGTATATAACTGATAAATCTTTTGATCTGAAATAGATGGGAAAAGAGGATGTTTGTACGGAGGAAACCAATGCAGCCTACCATCGGCAACATTTAAAGGGGTACAAGTGTTCACATATAAAGAGCTCGAATCCGCTACAGACGGGTTCACCCAAGCGAACCTTGTCGGTAAGGGTGGGTTCGGGTCGGTCTACCGTGGGATGCTACGTGATGGCACTCTTTCCGCTATTAAGATGCTTCATAGGGAGGGCAAGCAAGCTGAACGAGCTTTTCGATCAGAGGTATTTCATAAAAATTACAACAATGGTCATTAAATATGATATTTATTAAAATTACAGTCATTTAAACATCTATACATGTATTATATATATATATATATATATATATATATAATGATGTGTTTTTTGTTTTGGAAACCAAATGCAGGTGGATTTACTAAGTCGTTTGCAATGTCCATACTTGGTGGACCTGCTTGGATATTGTGCTGATAATCAGCACAAGCTCCTCGTATTCGAGTACATGTCGAATGGTACTCTTCACAACCATCTCCACCCGTCGGATGATCGATCTCGCGTATTGAATTGGGGTATCCGGTTGAGAATTGCCCTCGATTGCGCAAGAGCGCTCGAGTTCCTCCACGAGCACACCACCCCATCGGTCATACACCGTGATTTTAAATCTACCAATATCTTGTTGGACGAAAACTTTCGTGGAAAAGTCTCTGATTTTGGGCTGGCCAAGATCGGATCCGACAAACAAAACGGGTTGATCTCGACCCGTGTTTTAGGAACCACTGGATATTTGGCACCCGAGTAAGTTCATTATTCGTTATGATAGAATCAACTAATATCGTATATTACTTCCTACTAGATTAGAACAGAAAGCTTAAATATATGCATGAGAATGGGTCCCTTTTCTCTATAGTCTATATCATCATAAGATATAAAAGGTCGGTTTTTTAAACCTGAGCCTTCCAAGCCCGTTTTAGTAAGCAAAAAAAACTTGGGTCTGGTCGGGCTTCTGGAGTGAAAATAAGCCCAATCAAACCATTTCAGACTGGATTTTTTGGACCATTTTACATTAACGATGCTGATGACCTCCTTTAGGGCTTTGACCGGGCTTGCTTGATTGGGCTTCAGATGGGCCTGAGGTCGGGCCTACTAGGCCAGAACTCGAACGGTCTTGTACTTTTTTGTGCATCATTAATCATGACATATTATAAGAAAAACTGCCCTTGTATCTTATGTCATTATACTTGTTACAATGTTAGGTACGCTTCGACTGGAAAGCTTACGACCAAATCAGATGTGTATAGCTACGGTGTTGTTTTGTTAGAGCTCTTAACGGGTCGTGTACCTATCGACACTAAACGGCCACCTGGAGAGCATGTCCTCGTCTCTTGGGTAAGTACTTTTGTGCGTTTCCTATTTACAAGCACGTATGCATAGCATATTTTTCGTGACTCAAAATTTAGCCGTTGCTATTGAACTCCTCAGGCTCTTCCAAGGTTAACAAATAGAGGTGAAGTTGCGAAAATGGTTGATCCAAATCTACATGGCCAGTTATCGAGAAAGGATCTAATTCAGGTTAGTTTGGCTTCGTTTCCATAGATCATATGACTAAGATAAGTAATCAAATCATGTGTGAGAAAAATCAGATATACAACAGTATGAAATGTGGTTGGCTTAAGTAATCAAATCAACGTGTTGTTTGTGCTTGTGTAGGTGGCGGCTATTGCAGCCATGTGTGTGCAAACCGAAGCTGATTATCGGCCTCTAATGACAGACGTTGTACAATCGTTGATTCCTATAGTACACAATGTATCTTCCGGGAGCTCGTCTGGTTCTTTCAGGTTTAGCAAACGAGTAAGCCCTAGATCTTAGAGATTGCTCGAATCTTGATCTGTATTGTAGCTAAAAACCAAACTAAAATAATCCAACATATCCCACTCGGAGGTAAGAGTCTGGTGAGGATAGTGTGTATGTAGACTTGTCATCTAGCCTAAGGAGTAGACCAGTTGTTTCTATGAACACCATTTGAATAGTAGTCGATATATTCAATTAAATTCAGTACATAAATGCAAGAAAGTTAATTGTCATCCTACAAGGGTGTGTTTGTACAAGATAGGACGGAACAAAAACATGTTCCACATTTGGTGCAACAATACAATGAAACTTGACCGGACTGAATGGGACAAAAATGCATTTTAAAGTCTCAACAAAATAAGTGAAACAAAAACGAGGGAGATGGAAAGGCTTGGTAAACTACTAAACTATCCATGTCAAATCAAGACTCAAGACTATTAACGATTCTTTCACCCACCTACCCCACGATCACCCGTCCTGTCCTGTCCTGTCCTATCAGTCCAGTCCGTGTACCAAAATCGAACATGCAAAACTGGATTGAATCTTTACTCTAACATCGATGAATTAGAAGCCAAAGGGAAATTCATCTCATTGACCACCATAAATAAACCGTAAAGTACATGTATATATATACACGGTACGAGCTCCTAAACGCATTACAGATTCACCATGACTTTCAGGGACTGTTTTCCCTATCTCTATCTCTATCTTTCATCTAATTCTTGAAATTGCAAACGTCGGTTTAAATACACACATTCAAACACCAAATTCAGATTGTACCTGAGGAGCAGCTTGAAGATGGTCTTTAAAGAACTGTTTGAATGAGTAGAGCTGACAGGTCTTTCATTGCTGTTTCTGGTTTTCTTGTTCTTCTTGATGACTAGTTTCCAGACCAACTTTCTCCTTGTATTTTGCAAAAGCCGCTGAAAGGGCTGATTTAACGGTTACATTTGGTTCTTTTTTATCACGCTTATTTGAATGCACGGAGTCTTTCTCGTCTTCTTTAGCTTTGCTTGGAGTGAAAGGTTGGGCGGAAGATTGGACTGCTGAAGGGTGCTTGGGAATTGAGCGTTTGAACGGTTCATGAAAAGTGTCATACAAACGCTTTACCTGGTCAATCAATAATGAAAAGAGAAACAACAATCAAACTCACCTCTTTTTCCTTATTTTAAGGAGAGAGAATGTATTACAGGTTTGTAACGGGCAACCCCCCAGCCTGCACATACCGCTCCACCCCAAGAGCATCATGTGAGGGGTAAATCAAATATACCACGGCCCCCACTAGACAGCTGGCTTAAAAGCCGAGTGCCTACAAGGAGCTCAATTCCCAAAGGAATTGCAACTCCTATATTGCGGTTGCCAGACTCGAACCGTCGCCTATTTGTGCAAGTATACCACCCATAAACCAACTGAGCTACGCCCTAGGGGCATTATGCATTACATGTTCTTTTTCTGTATATGGGAATAGTGGCGAGTTTGGTGATAACATTGATGGTAGCTATGTATTGCCATTTCATTTGAAGTGTCAAAAGACAGCCACAATTTGAAACCAAATAAAATTCTTTTAACCGACATCAAGCATAGATTTGTTGTTTCCTGAACTTGTGAAGTAAAAAGGATTAGAAACTAGTTCTAACTGGACTGATGGTACAACAAAAATGTGTCTCTGGTATTGGGAAAGACTAAAAGGCCGTTTACCAGCACAAATTAAGCGCCAACCGGGTAAGAGTGCAATTTGGGTCAACACTTATCACAGATCAAGCAACCGTTTACTGAACTCTTATTGGGGGCGTCAATTACCTTATCGGTGATCATGGCTAGGAGTCTAGGACCAAGAATTTTACCCGGTAAGAGGCATAGCAAGAACCAAGAATCTTACCTGGTAAGTGAGAGAGAAGACTCTTACCCCGTAAGCGCTTATTGGGTAAAAGACGCTTACCACAATCCATTTTAATGACCGAGAATGCTACCCGATAAGGTACGTGAGGATGGTAACTCTTATGGGTAAGTGCTTACCCGGTAAGAGTTTGGTAAACGGCCCCTAAGAGTCCCTCCCTTAGCATCATGGACCGGTACGAGGGACTTGGTAAACAACATCATCTCTGATCAGGTAAGTGCCTCTTACCCAGTAAGACTCGATAAGCAGGTATCAAACATCCCCTAAAAAAGAGAACATAATGAAGAGAGAAGAACAAAGAGACATACTTTACGTTCACCAATGCCAGGGCAACGAGCTAGATCCTCCATGGAAGCATCCATAATATGAGAGAGAGACTGCCAAATTGATAATAAACAAAATGTCCACAAAACAAGATGAAACAAGTATTTCATCTCAAAACGATAGGCCAAATGATAGAAGCCATTTGAGATTATAATGATGTGAACCCCCTATCAGATGCAACTCCATTGGCATATTCTACACTTGCAAATATATCTACTAATTTCCCCTAGCAGATTTCTACATCTTTCTAAACTTTAACATATTCGTATGAGGGTAGATAACATAGAGAATTACATGGGAAAGTTCATTTAGGAACCATAAATATTTTGAAAACGGTGATAACCAACTATTCAAGAACTACTATATGATGAATATTCATGAACATCATTCATCATGAATTTCATGCATATTCATAATTCATGATACTCATCATGAATAATTGATTCTCATGGTTCTCAAAATATTCATGATTCTCCAATGGACCTGCCCTGACAAGTACAAACTAAGTCAAAAGAGAAAAGCTAGATGTAATGCATATGCGGAAATAGAAAATGAACTACAAGTTTTAGGGTAGCAGATGAAGTACCCCAAACGTAGAACCAAGAGTAACCACATCTGTCTTGTTGACATGCCGAACTGTTGTTAGAGTGTGCGATAACTGCAATCAAAGTTCATCTTAGTACACGTAAAAAAATGTATTTATAGCCATAAACGAACCTCAATTAGCAGAAAGGCCATAAAAATCCTGAAGGAAAGACAAAAAAAACTCAGGCATCTATACCCGTGATAAATAGTCTGTATCCATTTGGCCTTGAATAATATCTGCAGGCTTGTTTTCATAAACTTTTATCGTCTCCAGATACCGACCACATTCTTCCAAGCTGAAGCAAACGATATATAGATTCTGTAAGTTTTCTAACATCAAAAGTGGATTATTTAACAATCATATTAATTAATAACTCCTAAAAGAAATCAAAACAATAACCATAGCTACCCCCAAGAATCATTAGAACACACCATATTCTAGTTTGGTGCAGCCTTAACATACAACAAACATATATTTATGATCACAACAAACAATAAAGTACGGACGAGTACATAAATCACAGCACCACACAACAAATTTATTCATTTACAGCACAAAGATACCTCCAACCGCACAAAAGAGTACAGTCATGAAGCAGAGCCGTTCTTGTGACTTCCAACAATGGCTTGACAACATCTTCCTGAAACATAAACAACAAACCTCAGGTGGCAAAGCTAATAATATGTCACTATACTTTCACTCACACTTCTACATCACATACTCGTACAAAAAGATTTATCAGTCAAAGTTATTCTCATAACCATATCATTTATGTACATCAATTCGCTCCAACTTTAATTAAATTGTCCAACATAAATCATCAAAAATGTTTCAAATAATTAACATTCAAACAAATGTTCTTTCTCTTATCCTCTTGTTCCATTATTTTTAATAAAAACGGACAAATGATATGATTTTGAGAGGATAAGTATCTTATCGATAAAAAAATTATTTGAGTACGTAATTGGAAAAAGTAAAAGTACAGTGACCATTTCATCTACTTTTGCTAAATCAGCTTGCAATATTATCCAAAATAAGCTACAAATTATTCAATACATATGCTATATTTTGTTCCAAAGAAAAACAAATCAAATATTCAACTGCAGCTATCTAGATCTTACAACATCAACATGGCATAAGACAACACGAAGCTTGAAGTTTTTTCCCAATTCCCTTATTCGGTAATATAGATAGTCTGGGTGAAGCAGGTGATACCTGAGACTGCATGGAAAACGTCATGATGATAAGAATGAGATATAAGAGAGAAGTTCAAGAAAAATTAACTTTGGAAGCTAAAGAAGTATTTATCAACTTGGTGTTAGCAAAGTGTTGTTTCTTGTGTTTTGTCATCGTTATGTTGAATAAAAGCTTTGCAACTTAGATAAATAGATGAAAAAAGTCTAACAAACGTAAGCATCAGCCTTTTAGGTGAATAGGAACAGGAACCCACTAAAGCTCTAGGAGAATATGCAAAACCATGCTGAAATATCTTTTGCTTTTTTGTTTGAATTAGAGTATCTAGAAACAAATAACTATAAACATCCTACACTTCCGATAAAAAACTCGCCAGGGTTGGTTTGCATGTGAATGGATCAGAGTTATAACTCAAAAACATTATCTTCTTCTTCAACCTCCATAACTTCAATTGTCCACACCACATCCACCGGATGCTTGAAAAAAAACAATAAAAAAGGAAAATGGGTATAAGTTGATTAAAATCAGAAAACGTTTGAGCACTTCCATTCCCACCACACACCCCTATATTTCCCCCTTTCATTCCTGATCCAGTGGGGAATAGAACCTAAAACTGAAACTAAAAAATGAAAAAAAAGGACATTTTCCCTTAGAAATGTATTGTTAAAGGTACTCTACTTGTATTACATTTCAGTAATTGAACTTTCCTTCACAACTAGTCAAGTTAATGGTGTACCAGTGAATAGAATAAATGAGTTGATTGCTTATTGAAGTACGAACCTGAGATAGAGAGCACATGAATGTTGCCCCAACATGTAATCACAGACAATATCTGAGAAAGCCCATCTCACATTTCTTATATGTTTTAGCAAAGGATTTCCCTTCTACATGAACGAAAAACAAAATATTACATGTATGAATACATAAAGGCAGTCAGCACTATACACTGAACAAGCTTTTAAATAACACTGTTTCTGATGTTGTTTTGGAAGTTGACATTATAGCCAACAGATGATAGAAGTAATCTAAAAACCCATATACAAACTTAAATCAACTATTTTTTTCTTTTAGTACACTTCATTAGCTCAATGATCTTATCAATCTTGACCATCCAAACAAAGTACTCTGTTTCTCCCCCATGGATAAAACACACTAAGTCCAAGACATCATGGTCTAAAGCCCAACCAACATACAATACCAGAATGCTAACATGATTATGGTTTCAAACTGCTTGTTCAAATGCAAAAGTGATTTGAATTATGCCACCTATTGAATACCAATATCATTTTATTCATGGTACTTGCTCTTATGATGCCATTGATTTTGGAGAAACGTTGCTAACTTAAGTTTCGCCAAAAAGGCCCTAAAACCCCACCCACTTCGTCCATTTTTTTTCTGGAATGCAGCCAGTATAAACTAGTAAGGTGCTAGGCAGATAAAACTCCATGATAATCCACAAGAAGAAATAAAATAGAAGAATCGCAATTACAGCAAAGAATGCGCTTCCGTATCAAACAACTCACCTGTCTATGACTAACAAGTATTGCATTACGATTCTGTGCAGAAGACGGAGATGCTCCGGTATGATTTACAGCTGCAAACGGCAACGACGACGGAGTAGCATCAGCCACAGATGGCTGAACTCCCCTGATAATAAAACACAAAACCCTAAAGTCATGAAACGGTAGCGAAAATCAAAGAAAAGAAAATGCATCGATCAATTGAGAGGACGACCTTGGAGTTGATGAAGGAGGAGGTGGTGGAGCGTAGAATTCGGTGTTCTTAATGGAGTTGAAGGCTTGAGAGAAGGACTGAGAAGGGTTGAAAAGTGATTGGATAGGGGTTTTGGATTGGGATCCCTGTATAACTTCCTCGAATGAGGGTATCTTGATGACGAAGGATGATGAAGAACTGTTCTTGTTTGGATTCTGATCATCGCCCTCTTCCATTGATGTCAAATTTCATCCAAAATCTTTGCTTTTGTCCTCCCGCACAACATTCATACCAACAGTTTTTATTGACATTTATAAAGAAAATTTTTGAACTCCCTCGTAATATTCATATTCATTTATTATATTTACAGTTTTGGTCCCTTAACTTTTTTTTTTTAATTATACACACTTAACTTCTTTTAATTTACATTTTGGTCGCATAACTTTTCTTTTTTAGTTATACACACCTAACTTCTTGTAATGTATATTTTGACTCCTTAACTTTTCTTTTTTTAGTTATACACACTTAACCTTTTGTAGTATACATTTTGACCCCTTAACTTTTTTTTTTAGTTATACACACTTAACTTCTTGTAATATATATTTTGGCCCCTTAACTTTTCTTTTTTAATTGTACACTCCTAACTTTTTGTAATGTACATTTTGGCCCATTACCTTTTCTTTTTTAGTTGTACACATCTAACTTCTTGTAATGTACATTTTAACCCCTTAACTTTCCTTTTTTAGTTATACACACCTAACTTCTTGTAATGTACATTTTAACCCCTTAACTTTACTTTTTTAGTTATACACACTTAACTTCTTGTAATGTACATTTTGGCCCCTTAAAGGTAAGTAAAGGTAGCGAGTTTTACTCGATAAGCGTAGGTAAACATCCCTTAAATTACATATATCGTCTGTCGACAACTCAAACTCCAGCTATAGTTTCGAAATTACATAAACGGCCTCGTCATTTCATATTGTTCACATCATTCGTCCATGCCTCTTCCCCACTTGCAGCGACCACAACCACCATCACGAATCCTACTCCGTGTTACCTTCTACACCAAGCTTGTCTAGTCGATAGTATCTGCAAAGACTCTGATCCAAACACAGAACAAGAAGCGGCAATTTCTCTAACCAGCCAAAGCAACACGAGATGCTCATCTACAACCATTTTATAATGTAAGAATCCATTTTTGGTGCACAGTTTTCAGCATAAATAGCACACATTCAACACCCACTAAGGAGAAGGCATTAAATGGTGAAAACTGGCTTTTTTATAAACGACATCTAGAAAACAAGGCATCGTCAGACTAAAGCCATAAAGAATGCCACATGTCAGACTAAAGTGGTATAGGATGTCCACCTCCTTACCTGCTAGACTAAACTAAAGCCATACAAAATGCCACCTTCTTACCTGCTTAGTTACTAGGATTTTGTTCTAGGGATGGGACTTTGCATACCTTTATGAGAGTACCAATTTGCTTTTTTCTTAAATTACTGGTAGAAGCACGGGTAACGCATTAGGACGACCGTCACAAACAAAGCTAGCAACACGTCCTTTACACGCACTTAACAAAACAGAAAAAATATATATATAATAAAATGTAAGAAAACAAAGTTTGGATCCTTCAAAACAGTGCTTTCAAGATGAGGCATTCTTCCTTGTAGCATAAACACGGTACGCAGCTAGCCCAACAATCGCGACTGCGGCTCCCACTGCAATCATCAAAACAAAAATCAACCAAGATATCAAGATGCTTTTAATTGTTTACTAAACCAAATGAACACGATATTTCCACAAATGAAGTAGGGAGGTAGGATGTACACAAATCTTGCCTCTACCCCAAGAATACATTTTTTAAGTCTACATTGTTGAGCATTCTAAAGTTCGTAGAAGTTGATTATATTCTCATGCTCAACTAACTTCTCTAATTTATAGAAACAAACCAAACCAAATGTAGCCCAGTATATCTCACTCGAGATTAGGGTGTGGGAGTAGGATGTATGCAGCTCGTTCCTACCCTAAAGGGTAGAGAGCTTATTTCCGTAAAGACCCTGGCTCGCAAAAAAGATTTGCGGACATGAGAGAAACAAAAGATTTGGAAACAAAAAATACGAACAAATGTCTGCTATTATGAGATATAGAAATTAATTACTCCCTAAGGCTTAAATTATTATTTACTTAATTAAAAATTATAATAATTAATATTTCTATAACCATGTGTCTTTCTCATCGTAAACATTTATTTTGGGGCAGAAGGAGTATAGTGGAGTATCTACTATTGCAATTTCGAGTGTGGAAGATCAACTTCACCTGAAACAACCATTAGGGAACGGTTAAGAAGCCTGTGATACTGTTTTCGAGTTTTCCCAGCTTCCGTCTCAGGAATGCTTAAATGAGGGTGTTCTGCTGCTCTAACGATTCTCCGAAATATGTTATTAAAGTCACCCAACTTTGCACTTATAGGTATCGGAGCCTCTATTCCCATATCCTGACTAACCTGTAAAAACATATATTGCAGGTATGTCCATTGAAAAAAGTAGAGCATTTTAACAGCTTCATAAACAGTAATCTGAGACCGTAGAGATTTTTTCGACACCATCACTACATCTAATAATGGTTTGTCATATGAAATGTAAATGAAAATATGAAATAGGGGAGATGTCAAGCATGGATGAGCAAAAATTAATGCTTTTATGGTTCACAAGCATAAAATCTCTGAAGACTTCAGTTTGATTCTTTTGCCTATATTTCCCGACTTTAGTTTGTCCCAAAAAAGGTCCATAATGAAAAAGGAACGTAACTTTAGAAGTGTGTAGTTATTACACTTTTAACTAACTAAATGACAGTTTTACCCATAACAATGAAGGGAGTAATGAATTTCTCCATCTCAAAATTAAGGGTACAACTGGAAAGCAAGCCCACTGTGTTCTCAAATTTGGGAAGAAAGGAAACAAAATAATTATAATGTTCTTGAACAAGAGAGAAAAGAAAGGAAAGATGTCATTTTCACAAATACACCCCTTATATTCCAAGGTTGGGTAGAATTGTAATTTTACTAAAGTTTCCAAGGGTTCTTATTTGTCTCCTTCCCTTTCCTCCCGCATTTGGGAGGAAAGTTATCATTTATTTTCCTTCCGTTTCCTTTCCTTACCCTCCTTAAAAAATTCCGTGAACACGGTTTTTTGTTTTCCACCCCCTTTACTTTCCTTCATAAAGAAGGTTTCGAGAACACAGCTTTAGTTTTGAAAGTGGACACTTATTTTGGGACAAACTAAAAGAGAAATGTAGACACTTATTTTGGGATGGAGGGAATAATAAAAATGTATACCCTTGTTGAATCTTGTATTGCAGTTGGATAAGGATCAAGGTCGTCTTTAGCTGCAACAATGAGGCAAGGAACCTCATACCCAGTAGATTCCCCTTGACTCGCAACTTGAACAAGCAATTCTGTTGCTCTTAACCACGAAGACTCGTTCGAACTGGATAGCAAACGAGAAAATGAAGATCAAAATAAGCCGTTACGAGCATACACTTCAAAGAAGAGACAAACTTACGCTACCAAATGTGAAAGAATAGAGCACAAGTCCACTATAGGGCATGATACAATACATTGGTGAATTTGGTTAAAGCGTATATGCTGCATTTGAAGACACTATAGACATTACTTCAATTCCCCAAGTGTAACATCCCTCGCCATCCATACCAGATATTGTCCGCTTTATCCACACTTGAACTCACGGTTTTATAACGCGTCTGCTAGAGGAGGTATCCAGTCCCTTATAAAGCAATCGTTGTTCCCCTCCCCAACTGATGTGGGATCTCACAAGCTTCCCCCCTTAGGTTGGCACACCAGTCCTGTTCCTGTCTCTATACCATTTGTAACATCCCTGGCCAACCATACTAGATATTGTCGTTTTATGCATACTTGGACTCACCGTTTTAAAACGCATTTGATAGAGGAGGTATTCAGTCTCTTATAAGGCAACATTTGTTCCCTTTCTCCAACCGATGTGGGATTTCACACCAAGCCATATTAAGAGGTAAAGAATAATGAACTACTCCCTCCGTCCAAAAATAAATGTCCTCAATGAAAAAGGCATATTGTTTTAGAAATGCTAATAATTACACTTTTTTAATTAACTAAATGAAAACTTACCTTAATAATAGAGGGAGTAATGAATTTCTCTATCTCATAATTAAGGGTAGAATTGGAAAGTAGGCACTAACTTATGAAAGTGGACACTTATTTTTTCCTAAAATAGGAACGGGGACACTTATTTTGGTACGGAGGGAGTATATTCTTGCCAAATTTGTAAGCAACCCAAGCACCTCAAGTTCGGTAAAATAACGAAGTAAATGTAAATAACGTGAACAAGTTCTGACTAATGACAACAAATCTCTACTTACCTGTCATGGACAAAAACTGCTATATCACACATTGCCAAAGCATCCTTATGACTCAGAAAGTTTCCAATAGCATCCTCAGGTATCTCGCGCAAAATCAAAGTCTTCTTTGTTCCCTGTAAAAAATGAGACAAAATGAGGATTTTGTAATTATTACACAACTAAATAACAACTTTACCCTTAATAATAGAGGGATCAATGAATTTCTCCATCTCACAATTAAGGGTAGACTTGGAAGTAGACATTTAAGAACAAACTAAAATAGAAATATGGACACACTTATATTGGGACGGAGGTAGTATGATGTTGAGAGGAAATGTACTCACACCAGGCTGATCAACAATATTAACTGTATATCGCTCCTCGGTGGTTGGTGTATATACTTCAGAAAACTGTCTGCAACCCAATAAAAAAGAATGCCATGAAAACTATTAGCAGCTTGATGATAATAAAAAAATACACACAGAAAAAAACGATGTTAAATGACACCACTGGGCCAATTTTCAGCAGTCACTTGGTGTATATGTTATGAAGCCATGACGGAACTACTTCATGTATGAATTTGGCGATGGCTGGTGAAATTAATGTAGTTATTGATCATTAACAAGATCAACAAAAAATAACTAATTTGGATGAAAGACCTTCCAACAAAAGAATGCAACAACGACGACTTTCCCGCTTCTTTTGGTCCAAAAACGAAGCACTGGAAGACATTTCGGTCTGAGTGTTGCTTCTTGCGGTCAACGCGTCTTCTCCGAGTAACTCTTACTGCAGAAGAAGGATCACCAGCATATCCAATGTATATGAGGTTCTCAACACTAAGAACTGGATCTAGAAGTGTCATAAGAGCCCACTGCATCCCACAAAATTTCAACAGTAATAAGAAATTGCTCTTGATAAAAAAAAAGCCCGACTCTATAATCTTCAACCAACTGTGGTTATGTTTTTATATCTATTATGAGTATCGGTTGATATTATTTAACAAAATAAGCATCCAATATACCTCCCCTCACATCCCTTGGCAAATGAATAAACCTATATTTGAAATTTTTCAACAAAGAAAATGCCGCAATTTTCATTGATTATCCAAAAATGAAAATAGTGTTGCAATTACGTTGCATTCTCGAAACTCATTTTACGAAGGAAAGGAAGGAAGGGGAGGGAAAGGTGAGGAAATTGAAAAAAACTCTGTTCTTGAAAAAGAATTAGGAGAGAAAGGAAAGGAAACGGAAGGAAAAGAATGATTAGTTCCCTTCCAAAACTTTCCTCCCAAATGTGGGAGGAAAGGGAAGGAAAGGAATTAAAATCATTTAAGAAATTAAAATAAGTACAAAACTACCCAATCTTTCATTCTAAATGATATTATTCTAAAGGGCATATTAGTAAAAATGACGTCTTTCCTTTTTTTTCTATCATGTTCGAGAACATGAAAATTTATTTTCTTTCTTTTCCTTCTCTTTCAAGAACACAAATAAATAATTTATTTTCCTCTCCTTTCATCTCTCCCTTTCTTTTCCTTTCTTTCTCTCCAAATTCAAGAACACAATGTTAGGACTGAATAAGCTGCAGGAAGCGAGTCAAATACCATTAACACACAATCCTTCCACACAAAACACATAGAGAAACAAATTAGGAGGAAGCACGGTGAAATTAGAAAAAAAAAATGATAAGAATTTCGAAGAAAATCAACCACAAGGGTTGTGGTGTAGTGATTGAGGCTCAGGGGATGTGGTGGAATATCCCATCTGCCCTGGGTTCAATTCCAGGCGTCCACAATAATTGCGGCCACTAAGTTTATCAGGGTTGATGTCTTGTAGTCACAATTTGCCGGGACTAGTCTACGGATAGCCTAGGAAACCCTTCCAAAAGAATTTCAAAGAAAATCGCCATTCCTTCTCTTTTTCACTTTTGTTTATGTTGTATAACAGAACCCGAGATTCACCTGTTCTTTCACATTCCACTTATATCTTTTCATCTCTCGGTTTTACTCGCCCAAATGGGACTCACAGCTTATTCGGTCAGCTATAATGGTAATGGCTTACTCGGTAAGCTTCTAGGGGGAGCTTTATGCAGAACGCCAAGTTTTTTCCAAACCTGCCCCTCTCAATTAAAAAACATGCTCCTTCTATCTATGAAAAAACCCTCCCAACCAAAAACTTTCTCAATCTATACAGACAAATTAATCCACACAGACAGCTTTATCCATACAGGATTAAATGGAAAACCAACCAAACATCCCCTTAGCCATGTACAGATGTTCAGATGAAACACGGACAAATAACATGCGGGATCCCCTACAGGCACAAGTGAGAAGAATAGTTTTTAGGAATAATAAATTGCATAATCTCTTTCCTAAACATGGATGACACATCCAAAATCCATTTCACCTCCGGGAAAAAAGTTCTATTCAGCATAACAAAGAACAATAGTGATTGAAAAGAGAAAGTGGTCAGAATTAGTTACTCCTACACAATAAATGTCCGCAAAAAAACATTCTCATAAAATGAACAAGTTGTATTGACTCCCAAACTAGTGTATCCAGAATCAATAAAAGATAACTTTAATCAAAATCATGCAGATCGACAAATATTGACCGGAGTAGCACATACCATCATATGTAGTTCAGATATCGAACATTTCCATGAGACCATGGACATAGTAATAAGGAAGCACACATAACTAGACCACTTTCCATCAATCCATTGGCACTAATATACTGAACAGAACAGTTTAGTTAGCAGGTATATACCTCTGCCAAAAAACCGTCAAGTGATAACCCTCCCAATGCATTTTTCTCTGCCGCATTCACATATGGCGCTTCACTCCAAGGGCTGCAATTTTAGATTGTAAATTAAAATTTTGATTATGAAGGAAAAATGCATAAGGTTCATAAAATGCACAGCACAGAACTAAAGAAGTCCAGAAAGGAAATTGCAACACAACAGATGCTACGGTTTTCACTTTTCTGAAGTTTATAACAAGTCATTACAAAACAATTCCAAACAGATATCCCCGAGCAGAAAATAAATATATGCTGCCAAGGCACATTAATATATAACTAAATATTACTTAGCTTTCTCTGCCAACCATATTCAATTCAAACAAAGTTAAGCTAGAAATATTTCCAAACTACTTGAAGAAGATTTGAACGAGACTCTTCTTTTCATCAACTGTTTGATCACAAACACTTCATTCTTATCTTTTTGACAAATGGAAGCTGTCAAGAGAAAATATGCTCAGACGTTTGTTATCACAAAATTAGCTATTCAGAACATACCTCAGCCTTCTGATAATTACAGAAAGGTCACTCATAAGCTTTCTTTATCTACTGATTCCGGAGAAAATAGAAATAAACAGCAGGTACAAAACTGAGCATTGATGAAACATGTAAAACCAAAACCCAAAGAACAGAAGTAGGACATCCGTATGGCAGATCAAAGTAGAAGTGAAGTTGAATTCCCAAAATCAAACATAGCAAAGCAGATAGAATTTAGGGTCATACAAATCTTACCTCCAACGTTCCTACCTAAACCAAATTCCTTATAGAAGTTCCAATCATCCAAATCTCTCGAGCCTCTTTGCAAACTGCAGGGGAGAAGCTGCATAATGAAAACTTCCCTCCCTAACCCTCAGAAAGCTAAGAACCCCCGTGTGCTACAGCCACCTATTAATTCAAATCTCTTCTTACTATGCTGCAAATGTTAATCTTGGCCTACCCTTCAAACACAGCGGAATTTAAAGCATTCATTGACATGAGGTCCTTATTTTACTAACTACCAGGAATGGTTGCCTAGATTAGCTTTTCAGTTCAATACAAATGATATTGTAATCCCATTGCCTTTGCCAGAAATTGAATGCAAGAAACATCTAAATGCAAGTTCTCTCCGCATACCAAGTGTGAAGCAAGCAATCGTTGGATGAGATGCCCTAAGTAATCTTGGATGGAATGGTTAAGAGATCCAAGGGATTCTAGCTGCAAGCATAATATACTAGTTGAATGAAGTGTTTTTCAACAAACTCCTCTCTCAAATTTGACCACCCGCATATTGCATAATGCCACCTTGGTGTACTCCTATCTTAATAAGGAAGACACTTTATCTCATGTTTTCAGGAAAGTTATGACCTCATCCTACATATATGTGATCACATCAACACACTAAGGAGGTAAGTTTTTATTTTCAATGGCCCGCATAACTTCCGTTGGCACTTTACCGTATGATTGTTTGGAAGATGAACCCATACGCGAACCCTTTTCCTCTTGTATCTATAGAAATTAAGTGGCAATTATTCATCGTCTCCCTCTCTTTCTCAGATATACACAACACAGAGCAGCAGCAACAACAACAATAATGGTGTAACCAATGTAACTTGGAACAAAATAGAGTACCTTTCTGGTGCAGTAGAAAAAACATCCTCAAGCTCATGTGCATTAAGAGCCCCATCCTGGTTATAAGATGAGCATATATTCAATCTATTGAAATATTTGAACAAAGACACGAGATATACATCATTTACCAAAGTCTGCAGTGTAAAGGAAATGAATGGATCAAAGAGTAGATAAGCTCCATACGCTATTTATAGATGTCAACTCATAGGAAGGATATATTGTGCAAACACCCATACTGCAGCAAATGTACATCATATCTCAGCTAAAACAAGGTTCCTTTATTTTGGCAAGAAACAATTATTTGATGATTATTAGACATCTATGTTTGTCTTTATTTTTATCTTTATTCCTGTTTTCTCTTAGTTCTTCGAGCTAAGGATTTGACAGCAAAACACTATCCCCACAAAATATGAACAGGCTACAGCAACCTAGTCACCACAAACATCTGGACCTTGAAACCATGCTGGAATCTCATGCCAGAACCTTGATTGCCAGAAACTTGCCAACTCCACAGACATCTAATCCCAGCCCCAAAAACAGCTTGATGGCAGCCTACTGTTCCCATTTAACTGTTCACAACAGCAGCTGCCTCACCAGGTCTTATTGCAACTTCCTGTCGTTCTCTGGTGAGAAGTGACTCTCACCATCTGATCCTTTCTCACGGCCTATTCAATTAGATCTGACCCTGCAGTCTGCTTCACATGACCTACAACCTACATCTTAATTCTAATGAGTGTGGCATTATCTGGTTGGATACTTGTATTTATGAACCATATAAAGTAGACCTTCCTTTAGCTGCTACTGTTTCTTTCCAAAACTGCCATCTATTCTTCCCTTTTCTTGCTTCTGTTCTCCTGCCATCAGTGATATTAGAAAATAAAAACAAGTCAGGCTTCTACACTTCCTCACTTCCTGGTAGGCTTTGTTAGCCCAATGGAGCTCCATTCATGCCTTCCAGTTGAACCAGCAAGAACTTTTCGTACCAGATTTGAAACTTAAGTATATTAAAGCCAAAGTAATTGGATCCTTTATTGTAAAACTATTTATTGGCTTTCCAATTAGTTAGGTAGTAGGCATGAAGATAATGCGCCTCTCTACACATGTTTAGGATAGATTACTTTATAAAGAGAGGTAATATAGCTACTCAATATCCTTTATCGAATAAGCTTTTATTAGAGCCAAACGCTCTAGTAGAGCACGGAGAAAACAGGAACTAAACAGATTAAGAACTTCTTTCAACATGCTAAAATACTATACAAACCCATCCTAATAATGATTGGGAATTGGAGCAACATTGATAAGATAGTTACAAGTTCAATAATACAGAAACGCAAATATGTTGAAAGCAGAAAGCATAAATTCAACTTCTGAAAGCTCCATAAAATCGCCACAAAACAAAATAAGGAATTAAATCTGTATCTGAGATATTGGATTGTGAAGAAAAAGATGATAGAACATACACCATCGATGTCAAACAAGGAGAAAACACCTCTGAGGAATTCCACAGCTTCACTTGTCAGCTCCACACTCTACAAAAACCATAAACAAACCTCTAGCAACGTTAAACACAATCATATGCAGTGCATAAGATAATTTGGTTATGATGTAAAATACTTCTTTTCGGAAATAAGAGAGGACTTGATAATTAATAGCAGATTCAAATGTACACATGCAACACACTAGAATATATACACCAAATAAACATGCTTGCAGGCAACAACCCACTTTGCAATCAACATTCAGATGGAACACTGCTAAAATGTCCCCTTTCTCCATGCTAAAGCAAAATGGGGATACCGCAATGTAAAAAAAACTCTGTGAATTAAGCTTGGAAAAACTTAATTAAACCACCTTTGAGTTTGCTATATGCGCCAGCAAGCAGTTTGCTTATCATTAACAAATTTAAAGAGCCCTCAAAACTAAAACCCATAGGACCATAAGGTGTTGCCTGTAAGACAGAGAAACAACAATTCTTAATAATTATGAGCATCAGACATTATAATATTGGCAAAGGGTGTCACAAATGCAGCAATGCTCCTTGGCTTAATGAGTCTTGAGGAGGTAAGTCTTTATGTGCAGTATTTTCCTTCAATTTGCAAGGAGGTTGTTCCTATGACCTTCAAATCACAAATAAATAAGCTTACATATTGCTCCAAACTTTATAATTAAAGTTTAGTCCAAATATTTTACATTAACAGGAAAAAGTATGTTATCTAAGCCTAAATCTTCAATCACTCAAAGAATAACTAGCTACAGATAAAAACTATGCTACCTTACCAAAAATCTTCAATTACCTACATAAAAGCTAATTATAGAAACTAATATCAACTCATAGATGAAGGTTGCTTAGCCCTCCCCATAATTGGGATCCACTATTACAGCAATGCTAGCGCCTAGAGCTATAGTTGTGCCTACGTGGAGCCTAGAGCCTTGCACTTAAGCCCTAATACTAGTATGAACACACTGCATATGTTTCAGCAAAACCATCTCGCCTAGCCTCAGGAGAACTGCATGCTTATACATACCTGGTGCCTGCTTTTGACTACCAGGGATGTATGACTAGGGGTGAGCAGCGAAACCGGGTACCCACTTGCGGAACCGGAACTGCCTTCGAACTGCCGGTTCCGGAACCGATTGAGAATGGTTCCGGTTCCGGTTCTCAATTTTTCAAAACCGTTACCCGCCGGGTACCCGCTAAGACCGTCTTCAGGACCGGGTACCCGGAACCGGCGGGTACCCGTTTTTCAATTAAAAATAATAATTAATTTTTTTTAATACTAGATTAAATTAGGTCAAGAACTTAGAACTCTAGATTCAGAATTTGAGATAAAATGATCTCTATTTTTCAAATTGTGTGTTTAATTGGATTCGTAGTATGTAATCGTTAAACTTTGAACCTTTACAATTATAGTATATAATCGTTAAACTTTCAACATTTACTATTAGTCTATTATGGTTTGTAATCGTTAAACAATATTTGCAACCATTATTCCGTATAATTTGTATTCTTGTTTATTTATTAGTGTTTTGACAATGTTTTATTTTTGATTTCTAAATAACAAAAATTTAATATTTTAGGAAGCGTGTACCTGGAACCGGAACCGGTTCCCGGCGATTCCGGTTCCAAAAATTCAAGAACCGCTCTAACCGGTTCCGGTTCCAATATCTCAAGAACCGCCGGTTCCGGTTCAGGTTCCGGTCAAATAGGGCGGGTACCCGCCTATGCTCACCCCTATGTATGACCTTGTTTCCTTCATTGGAGATGAAATTGTTCCATATAGAGAAATAATTTAGTGAAATAATTACTCTGATAAAATCCATAAAGATAAATCTCATTATTGTATTTTTACTGAATGAGCTTTTGTTCTTAGATCAATATTTTGGTTTTCCAAATTTTTTATACCATTTGGAAACGTTTTATTACATTTTGAAGTGGTGCATTAACGGTAACTAAAATCACACAAAAAGGACAATTAGTTATTAATAATCCATTGCATATATCATTTTGCCTTTACTCAAAAAGTCATGTGAAAAAGAGGCCCTTAGCAGTCATCATTTTCATCTATGTGGCAATCATCATTTTCCAAGCTAAAAATTGTACAACACAATAATCACCATCAAAAAAGATATAAGTGAATCTATGTATCTCGAACCACAGGAAGAGAAGGAATTCCTGTTACAATGCAACAATTTGATAATATCGTGGGGCTTGTATATCATTTACCTAGCTAGGCAAAGGATCAGTTTGGTTGTAAACAGAATACCATTGTTCTTGGTTCAGCTTCTCATTGCTAATTCAATTCCAGCTACATAATTCCACATTAAATAAGTGACCACCATCTTCTATATTAATGTTGGACCACAATGGAAACAAATTCTATTTAGTTTCAGCAAATACATATTTTTATTGCAAGCTCTAGTAACATAATAGATTCCTATATAAGCAACCACACCCATAAGCAAAGAAAAAAGCACCGACAAAGTTTACCTGATCAGGAGTTCTTTTAATTGGAGAAAGCAGCTGATCATCGCCAAGCCTTATATCATTGTTGTAACCAAATTTTCTTAGGACTGTCCATGTTGTCTCTAGACGACCTTTTTCAATAAATAGTGCATGAAGGAAAAGGAAGCCTGTTAATGTAAGGCCATTCTCATGGACTCCTTCAGGCAGTTTTTCTTGTACAACTCTTTTTACACCCACTATTTCCGAGGGTTGCAGTGGAGCATTAAAACATTTGACCTGTTCAGAATCATACAATTAAAAATGTTGTTCATGTTCTTGAAAAGTAGAAATCTCCACTGAATGGGAAACAAAATAGACAACCACAACCATAAGACTTTTACATGGAAATTTATTAGTTTAATATATAACAAATACAAGTGCTCGTATATACTTAGGACCGGAAACAGAAACCTGGAAATCATTCAACTCTGCATCACTTAGAGCACCATCTCTATCATGATCACATAGAATAAATATTCTCTTTAAAGCCCTGACACATCTGGGTTTCAAAGTTTGTGCCTCCTGATCGAATAGTGGGGCTGTTGGATGAAGCACCGCCTTCTGGGCATAGTAGAACACCTCTGGGATCTGAAAATAGAGCAAAAAGCATAAACCTCAACAGTGCTAGTTCAACAAAAAAGCATAGAGAAGAAGAAATGATGGTACCAATTACAAGTCAAGTTCGGGATGCATGGATAGTAATCCCGTAATTCCAATTCAAAAAGTAGGCCACGCAAATATAACCTCAATAAACATAGGCACGCATAAAGGTTATGAATGTTGACAACTTCGTAGTAGAAACAAAACAATAGATGTGAACAAAAAAGCTCAGAACTTTTAAAAGGGCAGTAAAGTGATCGGTTGCAATAGTAGGCATCTTACCTGAATATGTTTGTATGCTGAACATTCAATACAAGTTTCAATCTCCCGAAACTGTTGCATTATAGGTGACATCACCTGCTCCAGACTGACTGCTTGTTGCTCGTCCCTTAGATCCAACTTACAACCTGCCACTATAACAGGAACCTTTACCTGTACATGTGTTTATACATCATGTTAGTTACCAAATGTTTGCTAGAAAAATAAATGTTGCGACCTAAAGATGAATAGGGTGTTAACATAACTAAACCATATTATTTCAAGATTATACCAAAAATGGATGTCCCTCTATCTCTCCCCCTCCCCCTCCTCCCTCTCTCTCTCTCTCTACATCTTTGATGTGTAGATGCATCTAACAACTTCCTACTAGAGCAAAATCAAAATGCGGGTTTTGTTGGAATAGTTTCTTCTTTCCTTAATAGACTCTTCAAAACTTTCCACTTAACTCAAACAGTTCCTCCGGTGTTGCTTGTCTAATATTATCAAAGAACAGTTATCAGAAGAATTGAGAGGTTAAGGGCTCTTATGTATTTCTAGGTTCTAACAAACAAGTTGTGCATGAGTGGCATATATGCTTTCACTTACAAAGGTAGGGTTAAGGAAACTTACATGCCCTTATCCCTATATCGTTGTGTAACACACACGGGAAAAATGACTTTATTTATTGCATCTATTAATTGCATAAATGAACATATATGGCACTATGGAGCTTGATTCTAAATTTTTTGATGTAACCCTACTTCCACTTCAACCTTGTGTCTAGTAACAAACTCATGTTCGTAAAAGGTGCAAAAATGCTTGGATTGTTTTCATTGCTTCCCACGTCATCAGTAATTGAAAATGATGAAATAAATAAATCATATTGGTGAACTTTATACTATAATGCCCAGAATTTAACTAATATCGATAACAATAGCACGGATGGTCAAAGTCAAAACTACTACCAGAACAAGGGAAATGGGCTTATGAAACCCAATCCTTTAAACCTGATGAAGCGTAGAGATGTCAAAAGCATAAGGTTTGCACAATGGCTCACTCCATATATAAAATTTCTGAAGCTTTGATTACTTGAGTAAGTGACAAAGAAAAGTGTGATACAACCTTGATAAATACTTGGTGAGGAGAACTATGACAATCAATGAGCGAAGAGATCTATCAAAGATGTTGTTCAACACCCGCAATCTCGGTTCAAGCGTTAATAATCTTCGCCGAGTAAACTTTTAATTCAATTCTTCTGTATGTAAGATTGAAATATAGCCATGTTTGTGGTTCTATTCTATCGACAAGCATACTAGTTAATATAAGAAAGCATATTTTTGGTCACCACAGTCACAGAAGTCTGTATAATGATGTCTAAAATGGTAATCAAGCAAGCAAGAGTTCCATATAATTCTAGAACCATGGACAAAAAAATACATGTCGAGATAGAAACTTAAAAATCCATTCAAATAAGGCCAAATTCTGAGGAGAAGTCCTCTCACATTTATAGGTGGAACACTTTATGATGAAAGACCATTCACACATATGACAACAGTAGGCATACCTCTAACCGTCGAAGTTCAGGAAGCCAGAACGTACTCAACCGTTCAAGTGTCGAAGGCTGGTCACACGCATAGGTAAGAACAACTGCATCTGCTCTCTTCAGTTCATCAGCAAGTTTACCTCTATTCTCCAAACTGGAATATAGGAATCAAGAATCACCATGTACACTCAGAAATTCCATCATCAATCTCAAGTGCTCTCAGTTGATGTTTCAGAATTTTACAAATTTCTAAATACCATCAAGTATCAAATTTAAAGCTGTAGTGTGTTCTAAACTTTTGGTAAGATAACTATTATTACCTTACAAAGAGTATTAACTATTGTTTATCGAATTTGTTCTCCAAATATTTCATACGAAGGGTGACCCATCCACCACTAAGATTGAAGATGGAACCCTTGATTTTGACCTTCAGGTCGCAAAATCATGGTTAATAACAACGTTTGCCATCAAGAAACTCAAATGCATCTCTTCTTGGATTGGAAAAGAGAGGTTTTATTCAATAACAAAATACCTGGAAGACGTATCAATGACTGTAACGGGGACACGGTCAGGGAACATATCCTCCGGCAACCTGGTAGGAGGCAACACCGGAGGGACATTTGCCGGAAAAGCCTCCGCAGCAGCGGTGATGATCAAGCTGGACTTACCGGTGCCATGGTCACCGGCAACAACGATCCGAACGCTGGTTGTAGAGTTCGACTTGGCAGTAGAACCACCTCCCGCCATTGACACAATCAAAGTTCTGGCGGAACCACCAAAACCCTTGTAGAGATGGGTGTGCTTGAAGAGAAAGCTTGAGATAAAAAGGACTAAAGTATTGGGTAGCTTATATGTTGCGAGGACTGAACGAGGAATCGCTGATTCCTTGTGGGTACGAGTCGTAGAAAAAGGGTTTTCATGGAGATTGTGCCCTCTTTGCTTTATTAACCCCTAGGGTTTATGATTACCCCTCAAGCTTCGTTTTTTCCGTTTCTTTTCTTTCACTTTGTTCATCAAATTCGTCATTAAAAATACAAAACACTTTCTTGTTGTTACTTCTTTCTCTTTCTTGGATTTCTTTACATTTTTCAAATTTTGTCCCATTTCACATTTCTTTATAATACCGAATCGAAGATCATGGGACTTATAATGTTCGCAAGACAGGTCGAATAATGGGAAAAAGGTTCGGAATTAAAAGATTGAGCGTCGACAAAGGGTGCGACTGTTCAAGACATGAGATGATGTTCGACAACTTTCAAGATAAATTGGAATATGCATATTGCAATCGGATACGGTGTATTAAAGCTAGAACAGTAACACGATATCCAGAATGTGTTAATGGTTGCTAACTGCAAGCGACAATAATATTCTCTTCTACAGTTACATGATGTCAATCTTGTTGTCATCGACCTCAAACTTCTCTTGTAACAGTATGAATTTAATATAAACTAGGTAATTTTGACACGCTTGGCGTGTGGTAGAAAATTATCGAAGTATAACATCAAAAAGTTTCAATTCAATATGAACTGTACGAGTGGTAGCAGTAATTATAGAAGTGGAAATACAGTTTACACCGTTGTGTAAATTTCTAACACTAAACGTTCTTGGATCAATTATTAATGAACCCCGCGTATAAAAGAAAAGTAAAACTAGAAAACCTAAAATTCCAACATATGTAAAAAAGGAAGGTGTGTCGAGATTAGTCTTCTTAAACGACATTTAGATTAGCAAGTCACTTGTTGCAAGTGTGCCCGCCAAACCCCCCTCAAAAGTAAGGATATAAATCTCATGTTCCAAATTTCTACGTTCATTTTCTGTCCACGAATCATATGAATACGCATAATCAGAGAGAGAATGTGAAATTGAGTAAAATAAATTTAAAACATAGAAAAATCTTATTGTCTTCACTTAATTAGCGAGACAGTGATGCGATGTGCGATTTTGGGACATCGGGTTTTTTATCCCAAAAGTAAACCTAAAGACAAGAGATGGGAATTGATAGAACGAGAATAAGATTAAAAAAAACAATGTAATAAAATGAGCAAGATAAGAAGACTAATAGCTATTTCCTCAAAACAACCATCTTGAATTGGTCAGGATTCAAAACTGTTTCATGTAAACCACCCTAAAAAAACTACTCAACAGTATCCATCACTTGCATCGGTCTGCAAGATTCGCTTGTTAGTGGCAGTGAGAATCTTTAAAGGGGGCATCACATCTGCTAATTGTTTTATTGTCTTTACAGCTAGCGTCTGCTTGTCAGTAATTTATCAAAATGAGCATATAACCATTACAAAAATTTCATGATTTGGGTTTCTTTCTCTCCACTACCATAACAGCATTGTGAAACAATGATAAAAGTTGTAAGAAGTTATACATGAATCCTGTTATCTTTTCAAAATTTGGGATCCAGAAACATCAAGAAAAGAAAAGGGTTTAGTTGCTTACGATAACAAGTTTTTATGTATAACATGAATGTTGTGGTTCATTGTTCACTCGATGTTTAGAAAATGATATCGGTAACTCAACAAACGTTTGGCCGATGGGCCGTTTGGTCTAATGGAATGGTTCTGAAGGATTTAAATTTCATGAAAGGATTTGAAATCTTTTGTAGGATTTGGAATTGAATTGAATTCCATTTTTTTAATAAATATTTTATAAAGGGGAGTTTCAAATACAAACCATGTAATTTTTATAAACTTTACAAATCGATCTCAACTATACATTTAAATAATTAACAGTATTGGATTAAATCAGTTTCTAAATTTAATCTCAACCGCATTTTATGACCACTTCTAAATTTTAAAGTAAATAAAACCAAGGGTTGTAGAGATTATAAAAATTACATGGTTTGTATTTGAAACTCTGGTTTATAAAAGGAAAAAGTCCAATAAAACCTAATAAATTTTCTCATTTTGAATTATTTAGTCCCTAAACTATTTTTCTTGAATGAGAAAAACCATTAAATTTTCTTATTTTGAATTATTAAGTCTCTAAAATGTTTTTTGGAATGAAAAAACATTAAACTTTCACATTTTGAATGATTAAGACTCTGATTTTTTAAGAAAATAAATAAACCACCGAATTTTTACTAGTTGGTTAATGTAATTTTTTCTGGTTAAAATAATATAGTTAACCAATTTTTAAAGTGCTATGATATATTTAATATAAAAAATGTTCAGTAACTTAATCATTCAAATTGAGAAAGTTCAATGGTTTTCTAGTTCAAAAAGAAAAAGTTTAATGTTTTTTCATTTAAAAAATAATTCATGGACTTGATCATTCAAAATAAAAAAAAATTAATAGTTTTTTCATCAAACATAGTTCAAGAATTTAATCATTTAAAACGAGATAATTCGTTGGATTTTTTGGAACTTTTCGTTTTATAAAAACAAGTTATAAGAAAATATAAATTATCATTTTATTAATTGATTATTATAAAACAAATATTTTCAACATACTTTAAAACATTATACACACAAATCTGACAAAATACCAACAACACCCATGGGATTTCTAAATCTAATGTTTATGGGATTTCAATGAAATATAGAGAATCCTTCAAATCAAACATGAGATTAAAATAAAATTGAATTCCAAATCCTACAAACCAAACGGGACCTCAGACTAAATGTAAGGATTTGGAATTGAAAAGATTTAGAATCAAAATGATTTGAAATCTTCGGTATGAAGGGTTTACAATTAAACTGAAATCAATTTTTTATAGATATTTATAATTAATTACAAAAATAATTAAATTACATTTTATTAATTGATTATCACAAAACAAATATTTTTAACATATTTAAAAACATTATTCAACAAATTTTAAGAAATGTCGCAAAATAGCAACTACCCTAAGGTGCGTTTGGTTTGCAGGAATGTTTCTGAGGGATTTGGATTCCCAGAAGGGATTTGGATTCCATGGGATTTGGATTGGATTGGATTTAAAATTCATCCATGTGTTTGGTTTGCAGGATTTGGATTGGATTTGAAATCCATTCCTTTATAAATCATGTTTGGTTTGTAGGATTTGGATTGTAATTTTTTTTGTAATTATTTTAATCACCAAATCCCTTTCATTTTCTTAAACCTATCTATTTAACCAATAAACCTAAATATTTAACAATCAAACTTTTTCATCCAAAATACATATTTAATCAACAAACATGTTAATCCAAAATACATATTTAACAATCAAATTTTTTCATCCAAAATACGTATTTAACTATCAAACTCGTTAATCCAAAATACATATTTAACAATCAAATTTTTTCATCCAAAATACGTATTTAACTATCAAACTCGTTAATCCAAAATACATATTTAACAATCAAATTTTTATCATCCAAAATACAAATTTAACTACCAAATTGTTCTTCCAAAACCACACATTTACCCACCAAAATTTTCATTCATTTAAAACCCAATTGACGTAAGCTTCCCTATCCGCTTCTTGCAAATCCCAAAACATGTTCACCTTTTCAGGATCGTCTCTTATCAATGAAATTACTTTAAACTTCTCYGGTTGGGCCAATGTCTGCATTTTTGATATCTCAGAAGTGATCATCGAACGTTTCTTATCAAGTTTTTCTTCTCGTTCGACACCCTTGTTAAGTGTGTTCGCCATTTTCTCCAAAGTTGCTCCAAATTTAGTAACCGCATCTACTCGAYGTTTTCTMTTCTTACCACGCACAYTTGAAGTTTCTTCAGATTGCATATTTGCATTCCCACCTTGAACATGGACAACTATCTTAAACCATTCCAATGACTCTTGTCTCATTTGCTTATGTAACCGTCTTGTTAAACTAAGTCGGTCCATTTCCTGTCCAATTACTCAAATTGTTAAACATATAGAAGTTGTAGTGTTTTTGGGCAATATATCAATACATTATCATCTAATAAAAGCTATATGTGAAATATCTCATATTCATTCCGACCTTTTTCCTTGAATCCAAGTCTTGAGGCATTCCCAACCTCAAATGAGAAGTTGCTACAGTGACAGAGCACATCATATGTAGCAAAAAGCTAGAATAAAAGCATTATGTGGTAGGGTTATTAGCTGGTAAGCATAGAGAGTCTTACCCGATAAATGATGCCGAGGACTCTTACCTGGGTAAGCATTTACCGGGTAAATTGTTGTATACGATACCGTTTTAATATACTATAATCTTATATGGTAAAATATATTATAGTGTTGACTCCTACTAGTAAGCACTTACTGGGTAAGTATTTGAGTAAACGGCCCCTAAGACATTAACCTATAAGGCTTGGTTCTTGTATTCATGTCTATTTTTGAATGCCTTTCTATGTATTTACATGTTAGAGAAGGCTTAGTTTGAATATTCTAGAGCTTGACTAAAAACAGATTAAAGAATACTACTACTACTATTAACACTTTCAAGTTGGAGTGTATACATCAGTATACCCAAAATATCACAAAGGCTTAGTTTGAATATTCTAGAGCTGGACACCCAAACAACTAAAAACTGGCTTGATAGATGGAAGTCGCCTAGATGTATTGCTGACCCTCTTGCATATATAACAAAATTATGGTAACCTCAAAATGCAGTCCAGAAATGCAGTCCAAAGTATATAGAACGCCTATTTGATAGTAGTCAAAGAAACCCCCAACACCCAGAAACTCCAAAGTATATAGAACGCCTATTTGAGTGACATTATCAAGTTATACCCAACTAATGCAAAGAAAGGATTGAAAGCAGTCGAAACTCAAACCTGAAGCATCCTACCAGATTTTTTCAACTTAAGCTAAGTTCTACTTGTAACAAACAGAAGAAACTTTGGGATGTTCAATATTGAGCACGGCTTAAAGAATACTTAATCAGTAGGTATCATAAAAAGAACTTCCAAATCAGTGATTGAAATAAAACTAGCGACAGTGATTGAAAAGGCACACAAGCTCCAAGGCACACAAAATACTACAAAAGGGAAAAAGGGATTTACCTGCTCAGTGATGGGAGAAGGGGGCAAAGAGGATGGGTTTATCGGCGGGTTAGGGCGGCAGCTTCGTGAGGGGACGGGAAGGGAGCAACTGTGAGGACGACCGATTAGGGCGCAACTTCGCGAGGGGACGGGAAGGGAGCAACTGTGAGGACGACCGATTAGGGCGCCACTTCGCGAGGGGACGGGAAGGGAGCACCTGCGAGGAGGACCTATTAGGGCACAGCTTCGCAAGGGGACGGGAAGGAAGCACCGGTGAGGAGGACTGATTAGAGCGGATGGAAGGGAAGCTGGGTGAAGGAAGCAGGAGGAAGCGATGGGAGGAAAAAGCTTGGATTTGGATTTCAAATCCCGCACCTTTGGGAAGGATTTCCAAATCCCGYGTCTAAKGGATTTTAATGAAATCCCAGGATTCCAAATCCCTTCAATTTGGCAAACCAAACATAGGATTGGAATGGATTTCAAATCCAAATCCCCCCAATTCCATTCCAATCCCGCAAACCAAACGCATGGGATTTTATTGAAATTATGGTATTTCAATTCCAGACTTTCCATAAACCAACGCAAAATTGGAATGGAATCTAATTCCAAATTCATAAAAAGAAAATTCACAACCGAAGAAACCTTTGCTTGTCGACACAATTCTACACTCGTAACCATTACTCCTGGAGTTGCACAACTCAAAAAAACAACCAGCTACGCTTTTCGGATGGTAACCAGTTGGGCTAAACCAGTTTATATCCAGCCCAACCGGTCGAGCCTTATCTGGTTACTGATCAGACGCGGTTCAAGGGCCAGTAGCCCAGTACTATGGACCATTGACACAGAATGTAGTTTGCAGCATATCGTAGTACAAACTACAAAATAAAGGAATATGGATTACAAAAATGTACGGAAAATTCCCAAATTTCATAACAAAGACTACAAATCTATCGTTGAACAAATATCAGGGAGCAAACAGCTAAAAGGATCACCATGATGATGGGGAGTATTCTGTGCCAATAAACTTAAGGTGTATGAGTCGAAGATAACATATATTAATTGATCATTTGCATCGTAATCGACCATTAAGGTATACATAGAAATCTTATTGCAGACCAATGCGGCATATGGGGTTGCTCTTAATGAGACTGAGGTCCACCTGCATAACACGAAAAACATAATCAAACAACATTTTGATCGTCTAAATGTTTGTAAAACGGATATAGATGTAATGGTTTCATGCGATTATACATACCTTGTGCCCGAAAAGATCTCTGATGTTATCAATGCCATAAAGTATCATAGTTGGCCTGTTTGCAGAACACAAAAGGACTTATATATAGTTAACTGTATTGTCATTAGTATCAATGTGAAAATCAAGGATCTTTTCAACTGTGAACTTACAAAGTCCATTAACTACAGTTGCGTAATTCCAGTGGGGGCTAAAACATGTCTAAATGATATTAAATATATAGAGGGAGGTCAAGGGGAAAACTCCCCAAAAAAAATGAAAAACTAAGAACACCTTGGTAACGATTTATCCGTGCGATATGCACGTGTACATACAACTAACTAAAAATGAGCATGCTATGCACGTGTCCTTAGCGGACAAATTACTTCTATTCACAGATGCATACCGTACAGATAAATGGTGACAAGGGTGATCATCAGTTGTTCATTTTTTTTTTACAGTTTTCTCCTGAATCTAACTCTATATATATGTGGGTAGGGTAGAGTTGGGTTTCGGAGAAGAGAAGTTATGTTGAGAAGCATAAGAAGAGATCCCCGCCCTTGGATCAATTATAATTGAATGTCAACACTAATGAGGTGCACCGAGATGCACTGGATCAATTCCTTTCTAAAACGCAATTCATGGGTGGGCATAAGATTAGAAGTGATCAAGGGTTCCGATCTCTTCTTACACTTCTCGCTGTAACTTCCCCTCTCACACATCCTTCACCAATGTGGGTATGCACTAGATCCCATCAAAAATTCACATTTAAACATGCTTGGACAAAAGTGGTACTTGTTTCAAATAAAATATTAGAAAAATATAGCAGATTTTTTTAAAGGGAAAGAATATAACAGATTAGAAGCAGCATTTTACAAGCATGCCTTGGATTAAACATGTTTGCTTAATATTTAAAAAATATATTGGGTCGATCATAAAACATTAATGCACCAAATCCCATTGTATTCGGCTTCTCATACTAGTTTCAGAAGAGGAAAAAAATTACAAATATAGCAATGGATTAAAACACTTCACAAGCATGCTTTGGATTAAAGGGGTGAGGTCGAATGATTCATTTGATCCATTCCAACATTAAGTGTCCACATTATTATTTTAGTTTGTCCCAAAATAATGTGTCCATTTCAAAAAGCAAGTGCAGAATTTACAAATCTACCTTTAACTATGAGATGGAGACATTTGTTACTCCCTCTATTATTAAGAGTACAATTGTCATTTAGTTAATTAAAAAGTGAAATAATTACACATTTCTAGAACTGTGTGACTTTTTCATTGTGAGCATTTATTTTGAGAGGAAGGAGTATATCGGAATGCTACTCAGTTTCCAGTTACTAGGTAATCAAAGCCCTTCGTACTAATTTCCGTTTTGTAAAATCTGCACATATATCTTAAAGTGGCTAAAAAGCTCACAATGAATTATGAACATGTATTGTTTAAACGTACCGTTCCAGGGAAAGTCCCCACGCAATAACTCTAACATCCTCGGGGAGTCCCATAGGAAGTAACATTTCGGGTCTGAACATCCCAGAATTTCCCACTTCAACCCACTTCTTAAAGCCTTCATGATAACTGCCAGAACAGATAATACATTGATCATTTCCAAATATTGTTGCCGTTATTAAGAATTAAAAATAACGATGTCCTACCCAAATATTTCCATGCTGGGTTCAGTGTAAGGGTTGTAGGCAGGCTTGAAACGCAACTTGGACATTCCTGGAACAAAAGACAACACAAGAAGATAAAATGCAATAAATCTTACATGCTTCTCTAAAGTCATAAACGAAATTTTACACGGTTCCCAGTACTCCAAAACCTAACGAAGAAATATTACATATTGGAAATGCTTTGGATAAATAAACTTTAATTGATTTGACGAAAAATTATTATCCAATTATTGGAACCAAGAATATAGATGCTGATATGGGTTGTTCCCCCAAATCCCTACCCCCTTAACCTGAAGTCTTAGCTTCATCCGCTATAGAGAAACTAAAATATTAGCATGCTCATGTAATCATGTTTGAGGGAGATATATATTACCCAAACGTGAGAAGAAGTCATACAGCACACCCTGCAGGTCCCCAAGATTTAGTCCGCGATCACATATAAGCCCTGAAACCAGAAGTAGAAACCATATCGTACTAATGCGTCATGCCTACAAGAACTCACGATATATGCAATTTCTAACGTCCAATATATGCACACCTTATAATGCTTTACCATGTGCTATTCACACAATGAGAACATGTTGGTTCAAGTGTACAAATATAAAATTTCTATCATGTGTATACTTGACGGACTTCACGCCAAGAATTAACTCGCGAGAATTCCTAGTGAAAGTTACAATAAACTAGGAATGTCCAGTTTGACTTCTGTAAGTGTTCCATTTTAATCTACGCCGTTAAGTAGAAGGCAAGATTAAATCCCATTCAAGGACAAGTAGTCAGTGAAAACTAGCATAAAGCAGGAGCTGATTGCGTGTGCAAAACCTAGGCATGTAGCAGAGATTTCATTAAAAATGGACAAAGACAAAGATACCTTCTATTTGATGAAATTCTGCAAGATGTGTCCGATCAACAGCTTCATTTCTGAAAACCCGATCAACAGAATAGTACTTTTTGGCTTCAAAAGGTTTCTGCAAAGTATGGTAGTTGATAGATTCATATGCAGCCAAACAATGTCTTTAAACTCCAAACTAAAGCAACAATAATAAAAACAGGAAACCAGCATACAGGATTAAAAGAATCTCTCTATCAATCCATTTTTCTTTATGCTAGCTTTATTTTTTTTAAATCATTAACAAAGCAATGCACCGTTATAATGTATGAAGAACCTTTATAAAGGATTAAAAAAGAAAACCTGTGCAAGTGCATACAGCATCCTCGAGGAGACAGCAGTTGTATGAGTTCGTAGTAAGTTTTTATTTGCTTCGTCTCGTTTCCAGTCATATTGATACCTGCAAAGAAAAATGTTGCTACATTTGTTAGAAAGACATCATAGTAAAAAAGTAAAGGTGTATATGTAGGGAGGGAGGTTCAGAGAAAAACCCCCAAAAAAATGAAAAACTGAGAAACACCCTAGTAACCATTGTAACCATCCATTCATCCGGACGGTATGCAAAAGTGCATACAAGTAATTGAAGTTGTTTCTTGGTTTTTATGCACGTGTGCATGTTATGCACATACGCATAGCGAAGAAATTGCTTACAAGTTACTTGTATGCACATGTGCATACCGTCCAGATGAACGGTTACCAGTGTTACTCATTTTTTCATTTATTTGTGCTTTTCCCCTGAACCTGACCCTACATATAGAAATTCTATATGATTGCATACCCTCTTGATCCATGACCTCCAGACTCATGAATCTGCTTCACCCTCTCAACATAATCTTCCGGAAGCATCTTTGTGGTAGAAGGTTCTACATATGTCATTGCCATATCACCCATTAGAGTAACACCCGATGCAAAAACAAAAGACACAAAACTGCAGTTTGAACATACCTCGTAAAAAGAATGTATCATGTGAATCACGGGCAGGGTGTTGTTGCGGTTGGAAAAGTGCATCAAAGTTCCAGAAGCTGCATTGGTGAATGAAAAAAATGGACAGCTGATTATAACAATCACTAAACTACATTCCAATGAATTGTGACTTAAAATGTCCTTCAAAGAAAGAAGGTAGGATAAAACAAAGAGGTCAACACACCAAACCGTAATAGGTCCGATTAACCAGATTCTTGTGTATCAATATGAAATATTTCTTAATTTAATAACATTGACTAATTATGGCTAGTTGAGGTTGTAGATGATCGAGCTCAAAATATGAAAGAGAATTGTGGCTACCTGCTTTCCACATAATTGTTTGTGGGCATCTCCTCGAATCTGCAATCACACAAACAGGTATTATAAAATCTATCATCCTTGTAATTATGCCAGGATGAAAACTAAGAGTTCATATCATTACCCCATCTGAAGGAAAATCATCTGCATTTGTCGCCGTACCTGCAATAAGTTAATATTCAGAGACTGATATCTACTTTAGATGAGCAATTGCATCATCTGTGCAATCTTTTTAAATGACAACATATCCCAACCTGTTGTTCAGAATAAAAGAAGACATTTACCACATATTAATACCAACAAATTAACTATACAAGGCTTCTTTGTTATAGGGCAGGTATACTTCAGTGCCACATCAAGATTATTTACATGTTTACCTCAACAACTAGATGCAACCAAAATTAAAACTTTGGCAAGAATAAAATGTCTCTGTGTCCGATGCATTGACCATGTTTGGCACCAACATTTTCTGTTTCCTATTTTTATTTTAACAGCCTCAGAAATTGTCCTGTATCATTTTGTAGCTGATTAAAATATACAAATGCATCCAACCTCACCCAAGAAACAAAAAGAAGAGTAATAACAGGAAAACTCTGATGCATGCAATCCTCGCTTAACTATAATCCAACTTATGTTTTAGGGAGAGATATCTAATTTTAGTATCTACTTAATTGCGCCAATATCACGTTATCAATCATAGAAACCCCGCTTTTCGTTATGATACAAAATGATCATGACAAGATAAGATCATTGAAACAATCAAAGAGAACACAAAATGATGAATTGAATTCTTGCCTTGAGCAGTGGATGGAGATAACCGCCTTCAGCAGGCAAACCTTTTGCACTGAAATTATATTCTTTAAACTGCAAATCCTTCCAGTCACCCCTTGAAAACAAAAACAAAATTCAAGTATCAAAATTTCAAGCATCTGGATTTCACCAATAGGGAACAAAATTTAAAGCGCTTGACCAACTCTTACGACAATGCATAAAATTGCAAGCACGTTTTTCCTATAAAATAGAGAAGAGCAGGTATTACCGAAATGCTACTAAAGTGTGTATTTTTAACAGTTCAATGAACAAACCAAAGCAAAAGCCAACTATTTCTGTCAGATTGATTACTTGTTAATATCCCAACCTAAAATAACTAGAATACAACAATCTCTATGATCATCTTATGTTTGTATAATACCTCTGCAAATTTTATTTGCTTACAATTGACAAGATAAGATATAATGACTATGCAGCTTTTTAATACCTTTGCAGATTTTCTCGGGTTAAATCAGTGGCAGGCTTCCTTCTTTTTGGGGCATAATTAGGACCTTTTCTAACTGAGTAGCCTTTCCATATCCTGTAAAAAGTGTGCAGACATCCACATCACATAAGATGTAAGCATATGATTAAGATGTAAAACGGAAAACAATTACTGTGACAAACTAAGCCAAACATATAACTGATGAGTGCACAACAATGAAGACAAAGCTGGTAAAAAATACCCATTTTAACTTTATGTATAACCAAAACATAGAAGTAGGATGTCATAAAAGAAATATTACTGTGGAGAAATAAGTTTTCTTCTCTTCAGAGCATCAATTTCCTCTTGGCTAACGGCCTGAAATAGATTATACCAATGGTCAAGCATAAGCACTATGTTTTGTCATCCACAAGTTGATAGGAAGATCGACATATTTAGCTGTCTACTAAGCAAGCGTTACAAAACTAGTCAAGTATTTTGGTCGGTTTATCTACAATTTCTAACAACAGTTCAACAAATTCAAAGTCGAAGGATGATGTCTTAGATTAGTAAAACTTGTCATCCTGGACAATAACCAACGATTCATTTTCTAAATATAGATAATAAATTAGTAAATTCATGCACCTCTCCATCATTTATCCTTACGAGCATAGCCTTCACATTATCATCGACATGTGCAACCTAAATCAAGTCAGAAATAACAAAAGTTTAGTTTTTACTACAACAAAAAGAAAAACTTAGCAGCATATATGAAACTTGAATTAATTAAGCAGACGTGTGAGCATGTGCATAACATGGATTAGCACATAACAAATTAAACCATATGAACCAAATTAGCAATGGAGATCAGATATTTGTGCATCATATTGCTTACTCCACCACAACAAAAGTAATATAATTAAATTTTATGAAAAGAATAACAAAAATTTCCACCATGCATATTCCATATTATAAGCCCAAGAAAATGAGATTAGAAAAATCCAAAAAAACTAATTAAGGGTTACAAGGAAATAGTAAGAAAAATGGAAGGGAACTTGACGACTCCTTCCTTATGATAATACAAGGTTTCAAGTAAGATCAAAGTGTTGGTGAAGAAAATAATAAAAAGATGAAGGCAGGTAAACCTTTAGGGGAAGATAGCATTCCAATAGAGGTTTTACGGAGCTGTTACAGATATAGGTCATAAGTATGGCTCACTCGTTACGAGAAGCCTAAGGCATTGATGAAAATTATAAGAAATTAAGTTATCAAAAAGTGAGGATGGAGCATTGTAAGTGAGACCTAATGCTTAGCTAAAGCCCAAGCACAAGTATCTCATCTCAAAGTCCGAGTAGTTGCTTTTAGAACTTCACTTGACGATGACTTGAAAGATTTTTATACTTTTTTGGCTGAGCCACCGAACTCGAAACCATTGGAACTAAACCTCAATCAAAGAAAACTGTTAAATCAAAGATGATAAGTGACTGATCGAAAAAACAAGAGCATAGTATAATGTATACATGGCTGGCTGAAATTTTTGTACAACAAAGGTGTAGCTTATTGGTTGTATTACTCACTAACTTATTTGAGTCACCAACAAATTAAGGTTAATGTTTCTCATTGTTCATACAGAAAGGTGTGCCCAAGAACATAAACTCAATAACGAGTTTGTTACCATGAGAAAAACTATAGGAAAGGCAAGCACATTACTGAAAATTCTAAGATATGAATATTTAAAATTATGATTATTTAAAGATAAATTTGCATCTATTGATTTAATAGAAACGGCATTTAGATGATTGTCACAAAGAAAAATGAAAAGCTATGTTGTTATAGCGATCAAAATACAAAATAGAGGCCAAGACTGAAATTTGAAATAGCGGTTATCGCGGTGGTAGAGCGGTCCAAAAATAGCGCTTCATATAATATTTCTTAGAATTATATATAACATATATGTATGCATACATAAACATAGTATATGCATTAATTAAAAATATAGTTTCAACATCAAAACATCAACTTAAACAAGTTTCACAAAACAAAATAGGAAAAGTGTTCATAAACGAGCTAATTGCAAGCAATAGGTTCAGCATCCGAGTCAAAATAAAAGCCCAACAAAGGCAAAAATGTAAGCATTAGATTCAAAAGAGGCCAGAAGAGAATATCGGTATTGCGGACCGCTGTTTTACATCCAATACCGGTGAAATAGTGGTAAATTGCGCCGCTATAATCGAAACCGCAATTTCCACCTATATTGCACTGCTATTTCTCTTTGACCGATAACCGCTATTGCGCCGCAATTAACAGCATAGATGAAGAAGAAACTCAGATGACATAGGTTCTCTATGAGAGGCAACATTATTTAAAAATTTTATCAACATTATTAGTTCAAGCTTTTGATATCAAGCAAGCAAGAAAGAACTTCGGAGGCTGAACTATATTGATAAAGAACTAGCAACTTCAAATATGCAATCATCCTCAGCAATACTCGATTAACTTTACCTTTCTAGAGACTTGTGACTTCCCCATCTCCACCCATTTATTTTTTATGGCTTGCTGGCAACCTATTTTGAAAACTGAGTCTCCCAACTTCTTCTGCATCAAAAACATCAATTTATTGAGTATATCTTCCAACAAGCAACAAATAGTTCTCGGGCACCAAGACTAGACATGAAATAAAAGATCATATGCTAAGAAAACTGACATGTAAAATAACTAAGACAAATTAACTTCTAGCAACCCTGTAGACACCATTGCCAGAATTTCACTGCTTTTTTTCAGTTGCTTAAAGCAGCAGGCCCAGTAGAGATAATAAAAACAAAGGAGACATAAAATTTATTCTCCATTTGGACTATGTACTCTCTTTGTAAAAACATATTGGAATTGACTTTCATATGCTTCCAGGTCTAACAAAAAAGTCCACATCGACTTCCAAAGATGTTAGAACTCAAAACACATCAGATAAAATAAATAGACCAACAAAATGTAATCACTGTGAATACACAAATCAAGAAGGTAAAGTTTAGAGTGCCATGAACTTGCTAGAAGACGTCATACTCTTTTAACAATGTATTTCGGAGTTCCTATTCCATCTTGTAGCTAGAGGATTGGTCTGTTTTACCTGCAGTTCAACTCGTGAGATACCCTCCTGTGGGATGGCCATGAATAGTTGGAATTCCGGAGATCCATTAGCAGCATAAGTTTTGCCTTCAGCAGTTAGTTGCCATCTCTCCTTCTTAATATCCTATATACAAAAGGAATTTCTGGTTTATATACGAAAATTTAAAACCAAATCCATATATACATCCAAAAGGGAATGAGAACAAATATTAAAAAGGGTAGAAATGACTACAAAAAACACAAGAAATCTACAATTAATAGTGAATGACAAAGCCATTAACTCATTACTCAGTTATCTCTTTAACCTATAAAACATCATAAAATATATACAAATAAACAACACACATAATAACTTTGATCAATAGCCATTATATTTTTATTTCTTGATACGGCACAAAGAATACAAATTGCTGCAGAATCAAGATGTTAGGAAGGTTTAGAAGCTTTTTAAGGAAATCACCAAGCTGATAAGTTCCTGTCTTAATCAATAGCCATTATATTATTATTTTTCTCTTCTTCTCCTAAGGTTCATAGAATTTTTGGGGTCTCGCTTTCGCTATTTATTGCAAAAAAATAAAAGACAAGGGGGGGACATAAAGGCCTTACCCATGAACATCAAGGGAAAGGATCTCAACCAGAAATATGATACTTTGTCGCGGAAGACCATCCATACTCATCCCCGAAAACAATTTTAATGTTGAAAGGGTCACATTCAAATTTTGCAATCATATCAACCATCTTCCATATGTATTATCAAAAATATCCATACATTTAATACCCGTCAGATAATTCATGCCAATGGGCCATATAGAAAAAAATGTCACTACACTTCTACACAATTTTCAATAATATGCTCAAATATGAACTCACATACTTCACCCTCAATCAGTCACATCATTTCCTCCAATTTTAATCAAATTACCCAATATAAATCATCAAAACTGGTTGGGATGATTAACATTCTCTTCATCAAACTGTTCTACCCTTTGACCTCTAGTCCCAAAATGACTATTCATAATAGTAAACTTCATTAAAAAGTTGAATGAAAATGATGCAATTGTAAGATTGTGGAACTATAAGAGGGTTGTTGATAAAATTTTTTGTACCAGTGTGTGCTTGCAACAAGTGTGAAAGTACAATGACCACTCTACTATATTACCATATTACTGAAAGTATTTATTTGTGTTTCAAATTATAACAATATATTCCAGAAAACATGAATATTAAAAATTTTCATCCTGCTGTAATTTGATGAGTCACTACTCCCTACAATATATACAGACTGTTCTGGGTTTACATGATTTTTTATTTTCAAAGGTATCCGAAAAGAACATGTGGGGATAAAACAAGAATTGTCCCTGAATATACGATATAGTCAGTATGCATATTAGCATAAGTCCAGAATCCATGTTTCTGTAGCTAAGTATTTGTGTATGTCCTTTTCCACCAATCAGGCAGTTGATATGATTAAATTGCAGTGTGTTGATGTATAACAAAAACATGAAAATGATCTTATACTTTGGAACACAGAGGTGGCTATTGCCTATTATTTCTTTTTAAACTACCAAACTTAGTCATCTCAATTCTCACTTTGCTCTTTTTGTTCCCTGGTTTCTCACTATCTCTGCCTCAAAAGGCACCAGTCCAAATGAATATATGAATGGGGCAAACTTTAGTCTTCTGGCCAAGCGAGGCCAAAAACTTTATTGCAGTTTCAAGCACAAAGTGAAGTACCACGTCTTCTGAATATTGATAATTGGCTGGATATTCCCAGATTTTCAGATTATTCATAGAGAATAGCTAACTACTGCAGGTGGGGGAGGAGATGGAGACATAGAGGCGGGATGGGGGAAGGTTATAGAGCCACCAGATGGCGCAACAATGTCCTAAGATAGATAGAAGGGAGGCTCCTTGCCAGTAATTAGGAGTGTCCTTTGTGCACAATTGGTAGCTACTGTTAGGATGATCTGTGTTGTTCCATTGTTGTATGGTTTTACTGCCTATATCATACTTCGTTTTTTACTCGCATTCAAATTTTATAATTATTTCACATTGTCCTTGGCCTTGCTCTCAAATAACTTTTCCAGGGTTTCTAAATTTCTCACAAATTCCTGTAACTCTTTTCTCATGTTGAGGACCTTCAAGAGAACAGCATCTCTACTCTCTACTCCTTGAAGCAGAGGAAAGGTATACGTGCATCTTATCCCCCAAACCCAATTCTCGAGTTAGATACTCCCAAATGTATCAAAATCGCAAGACGAATAGTATTATAAATGTAATCAAATTATAAATTATTGTACGATTTTCTACATATTTTGTAAAATTTTATATTAAATTTTGTTATGCAAATTTGCATCACTTGGTATGTTTTACTAAAAATATATTGAGGTATTAATAAAAATGAAATGCATTATAGTTGTGGAATCAATATCAAATTGTTAGCCCAAAATTATCACAAAAGAAGTTACTTGACATTAATCCAAAATGTTAGCCGAGATTACTAAACATTATACTAAGTTAAAAAGAACAATTAGGGATGACTGATTGGGACCCTACTGCCTAAACAGGTATCCCCTAACCAGAACGGTTCATTTGTGCACTTCTAGGTTTCAATTAAGCCAACCCCTTGGTTAATCCTCACTTCACCATTACAGTATAGTTCATCGCAAATTAAAATGTAGACTTCTTGTATCAGTGTGGATGAGGAATGAGTCTAATCATGTATACAGAAATTGACGAATTGAGTTACATCATAATCTTCATTTCGTCTCTAATAAATTGGACAAGAAAAAGACCTGAGCATCGACGAATCGAAAGCCATTGAGACTCTTAATGACGTTCACAATCTCGTCATGACTGATCCCTTGTTCCACAGCGAACTCACCTGAATCTGTTATCAGTTCGTTCTTTTCCAGAAACCCCAATACTGCTTCTTCCGCCATCTGTTTGCCTGTATATGTCAATAACTACTTAAACTTCAATCAAATAGAGTAGGTGCCCACTGTTCCCACGTGCCGTCGGTCGTCCACGGCGGAGGGAACGAACAGAGGGAGGCGTCACTGATGGTGAGACAGGATTAGTAAGAAGGGTTTTGCCTTTCCGTTCTTTTCTTTTCTGCCCCCTGTAAATTACCTCTAGTTTTCTTTGAAACAGCAAAAATGTTGGACCCAGAAAGGACTTGGATCGATTGAAACTGCCACCAAAATCCAAATGCTACTCAACGGAATCCAATCTACATGGATGCTCGTATTAAAACAACGTACAGGGATCCGCCTGTTTACGGATCTTGGGCTTTTTGGCCCAACAGCCAAATTTAAGTTGTTTGCTTCATTTTTTTATTACTACTAGAATCATACATCTTGATTATAATATTTTATTATATTTTTTATCTGTATCAATGTTATATTACAATTTTATATGGTTTTAAGAAAGCGATAATGTTTTTATATTTAAAAAAATTATATAAATGTTATTATTAAATTAATTATTTAAAAGTTCTTAATTTTTTTTAATTCCATTTTTTTATTATACTTTAATTTCGATTTAATAACGAATGGTTTAATAATATAATTTTTTACAAAGATAATAATTAAGAATTTTGTTAGACCTTAATGATTATCCTGATTATATTTTAGGTTTTCTATATTTAAAATGAGGTGTTTATCATATATTTAATTATGTTTATATGTAGTTAGTTATGTGAATTCAAACATAGAGCTTTAATAAGTTCTATTTACGCACGATTTACTTATAATCTTATATTTGAAATAATATGCATCAATAAATAGTACTTGATGTATAAAAATGGTCATTAGGAGTTTTTTTGTCAAATTCTTTATAATATAGTATAGCTATATTGATAACGTTGTTTTTGTGAATTAATATGTCGGTAAAGATTTAAAAAAGGTTCTGTTAGGAAGGGTTTATCTATAAATGGGATGAGTATGTTTTTTAATTATAAAGACAAGTTTAGAATAACTTGGCTTTTTCATAAAATTTCTTAAAAGCTTACCGAATAAGACACTTTCTATATCATTAATCCACTACCAAACATGTATAGTTGGCCGAATAAGTTGTAAGTTTCATTAAGTTCATTAAGCTATTAACAAACAAACCCTAAATGTAAAATAAGAACAAGTTCCTAAATATGGTCCACTTGTTAACAAGTTAACAACTTGCAACATTCTACACAAAATGTTAAAATTAAAAAAAGTTTAATGCGTGTTTTCAAGTTTACAGACCGAAACATGCGAACTTAATATCGCAAAATAAAGTGTATATGGTTCTATGTATGCAAACTTTGTCTCTACCTAAAAATAAGTAAACGACCGAGAGATTGATTAAGTAAGTACTTTTAACTTAAAAAAACAAAAAACAAGAAATAACAGATACGGAATAAAAAAAACGCAGTAGTAGCAACTACCAGAGCAAGGATAAAGATTACAAAATACCATGTACTGAAATAAAATAAAAACTAATACCAGCATAAGAACAATGTAGAAGTAGGAAAAAACTGACATTGCTCTTTATAAACCAGAAGCCTTTAGTAAACCTATGGGTTATGTACTGCTTACCCCATGCTCGTCGTTTGTCTATGCTGGCTACAGGTCCCCTACATAATATGTTACCTTGGTCGTACGTCTCCAGTTGCTCATATCAAACACCATGTTCTCGAAAACATCTAGTGGCATCGTGTCCTTCCTCGACTACTCATCTCATGTTCTCCTTCACCTACATCTTCTCCTCACCCCCTCAACCGTCGTACTTCCTATTATCCTCACTAATTACATCAGTTGTTTCCTACATAGGTAGAGATGGCGAAACATGGTTTGACCCCGCCCAGGTGCATGACAAACTGAGACATGTTATGAAACTGGTTACGAGATTTCTAAAAATTAAAAGCCCGAAATTGGACCAGAGATCGCGCATGGATCGATATTTCAGTATTTTTGAAACTGTTTCAAGTATTTATAAATGATAATATAAAATTTTCAAGATTTTTTTAATGTAATGCAGTATTTTAAATTGAATTATGATACTCGATTTCATAATTATAAAGTCTTGTACAACATTTTTATGTAACAATAATTAAAAAAAACAAATTTCATTTTTACCGGATAGGTGCGGGACCAAATTTGGGATTAGGACTGGCTGTCGGACCTAGGATTAGACTTATACGAGACTTTGTCCATCCGATTACAAATCAACTTCCCTTCCTTGTCCCATGACTGATTTGGACCCGATTTAGAACCAGTTTTGGCCATCTCTATACTTAATTAGGCATCCAGAACACCTAAGGGGTTGTTCAATTGTTTGGCAGTTGCTGAATGATTTGGTGCAGAATGATTAGGTGACTTTCATAATATAGTGCAAAATGAAATATAATTGTTTGGTAATTGTTTACAATGAAATCATGGCGCTTAATGGTTAAGGGAGGCTCAGAATACAAAATTATTCAGAGGGTTTTAGAACCATTAAGAAGCGGATTTTTTTTTGCCAAACAAAATTCACTTCTTAATGATTCAGATGTTACCACTTAATGGAACTATTAAGAGGTAAACAAACAACTCCCAAGTCTTTCTTCCCTTAATTTATTCTTAGCAAGCGCAACCTTCAAACCCCCTCTTCCCTAAAAAAAAAACATCATTCGATGTTATATCTAACATGATCCGACCATATGTTCACTTAAATTTTCTTATATTCAGATGTTGATCTCAAAAACTTAAATCTCATCATAAAAATTAGGTTTGTTCATCAGTTGACATCCATTGGATGTAAAGGGAACTAAACCGATCAAATCATCCATTGGATGTTGGATTTTGTCAACCGATCTGATCCCGATTAATATTGGATAATCGATCCAATCCAATCAAATGGATGATTGAATCGGTTTGATTTCATCTATTGGATACTTTTATTGGATATCCAATGGATGATCCGATGAGATTGGATTCATCCAGTATGTTGATTCAAAGCCTCACATAAAACAAAATTCGATTTAAGCAATTCGAAAATAAATTAATTGATAGTAGTTGGATAATGGTTTAATGAACAACTGAATGGTCATCGAATAATTAATTGGATGTTGATCGGTTCGGTTTGGTTCGATTTTGAACTGTCATCCGATAACCGAACGATCCAAGTTGGATGTTGGAATTTTCAATTGGACGTCTAATCATGGTCGGCCGATTCTAATTAAATCAATCGATCTTAATTGAATCGGTTGATTTTTTGCACACCTCTAATAAAAAATAATCAAATTATGAATTTTAGATTCGATAAATCTAAAAATCAGTAAGGATTATAATTTTCGGTTTCGGTTTTTTTTTACCGACCTCCCATTTAATTGGAGCGTGGGTCAATTTATGAAAGGGGTCAACCACGCGGTACGACTGAAAACTACGTCACCGAGAACAAATAGTTCCACGTAACTCTTTTTGACCCACAAACCCAAGACCTTCCACCCCTGAGTACGTGGACTTCGGTCTCACCCATCATTCACCTTTCAAAACAGTTTCAACCCTCCATCTTATTATTAATGCTCTAATACACCCTTACGTTTTAAACATTATCATATACACCCCTTCTATTATTTTGTAAGACCATTCATGTAGTTTTTAAACGGAGCGTTTGAATATATGATTATGCTTAGGAACATGTTTTAGTTGTTGTACTGCTAAAGAAGTTAGAAAATTGAAACTTTGTGTACGTGTATCTATTGTAATTGATAGACCGGTATATCAGTATATATAATCAATGATTACGAGTTTAAGATTCGTATATATTTAATTTGTTTAAAAAATGCATATTTTAGGCTATCTTTGCAGATAAGGTATTTTTTTTTAAGTTTTCACTTTAATGCTTTTTTGTATGTTGATAATCAGTGTTTGAAAATAATATTTGTTTAGAGGAGTATTTTGGCAGACGAACCTATAAATTTTGTTAGGTGGTGGCACCAAATAAATATAAGAATATTTTTTCATAAAATCATCATTGATATGTTGGTTAGTCGTTGTTTTTTCATATGTGAAGTCATGTGTTCATGTCTTTTATTGCAAAAAGAAAATTATAAACATAATAAATTCAAAATTAACAACAAAAAACTAAGAAGATGACACTAACGGAATGCAGACTTAAGTATGGGATGGATGAAAAGTATTACAAACCAACTTTACCAAAAGAAACTAGTGTATACATTGTAGTTTCAAAATATATATAATGACACACAACAAATTGATATACTAAACACTTTTCACGAGCCTAGAATTTTTTTACGCTACGATAAAGAAACGTGGTAATGGCTCGTGCCAGTGCACTACATGGGTCAGTCCCTATATTTTGGGTTTTTTTTTAATCAAATATTATTATTAAATTATGGGTTAATTAATATATTGCATTTGTTTTAGCAAGAACACCTATACTAATTGCAACCATCCATTTGTACACGGTTTTCTTGAATCTTGATTTGTTTATTTGAGAATGATGGTTAAATTTTATAAGTAAAGGCCATTTATCAAACGTTTATCGGGTTTCATTTACTTTGCTGGATAAGTATGACAAGTACATAGAATCTTTCCCGGTAAGAGATATAATAAAGAGTAATAATCTTACACTGTAAGTGAGAGAAAAACACTTTTAACCGGTAAGCCTTTACTGGATACCTACCGGGTAAGAGACGTTTACCAACAACAACAATCTATTTTGATAGACGATAATGTTAATGATAAAATAAGTTAGATTGGTAACTTTTCTCGGTAAGCGATTGGTAGATGACCCATAATGCTTCTTTTGGCATATGCAAATTAGGATAAACGTGGTCGACTCTTTTTGCTTCTAGACGCATCACTACTAATACAATTTATTCGTCTTTGATGTTTTTTCACCTGCAACTATAACTTAGGGTTTAGTTCTTTTATATTCGACGGAATATAGTTCTTTTAGGGTCACAATTTGATATAGACAGTTTATTATTTTATTAATCTTGTTTTGTTTTCATAAATTTTATCTCACCTATATTTGTGGGTCAAAAAAGTGCATTTTTGTCCCACTTCGTGTCAAAATGATACAAGTTTTTGGTTCTATAATTTATCGGTCTATCCCGTGTACCAAACACATCTTGATGTTTATCCTAGTTCAATCTCTTTGTAACTTGACCTACATTGAAAGGTAAAATGATAAATCATCCATACAGTTTACTGTTTGTTTTTAATAAAAAAGCTCTTAATGTCCTCTTAAGTCTGAATCGGTCAGACATAAGAAGATTCAGTGTGTTTGTTTTTTTTTTTTTTTTAAATTAAGAGCTTAAAAGCTCTTATTAGGTCTGAAAATTTAAATGGTTGTGAAACCTCTTATTACCTCTTATTTCAAATTGTCGTCTACCTATTCTGATCTCTTTGCGCTCGATTTATCTAGATCAACTCTTCTATCTCGATCTCTCATCTCTCAACTTTGTCAATTATCGATCCATATCAACTCTCAATCTCTCACCTTCAAACTTCAGATTTCAGACGCAAAAAACAAACAGTCTAACTGATTCAGATTTCAGACTTCAGCACCACCTCTTAAAAATCAGAAGTGAATTCAGACTTCAGACTTCAGCACCTCTTAAAAAACAAATGCCACCTATTAATGTCACAAACAAACAATTACTTATTTAAATATATGAATGTCTAAGAAAGGGGAAAAAAAAGAACACCTAAGATACTTAGGGGCCGTTTACTCAAATGCTTATTCGGTAAATGCTTACCAATAGGAGCCAACACTATAATTTATTTAGATGTGTAAGATTTTAGTACATCAAAGCATATCGAATGCAACAATTTACTAGGTAAACACTTACCTGGGTAATGGTCGCCATCCTCACCTACCGGGCAATACTCTCCATCCTTCTCATCACTCTTACATGGTAAGATTCTTGGTCCTTTTCATGTTCATCCGATGAGGAAATTTATGCGTTAAGCATTTACCAAGTAAGTGTTTAGTACACAACCCCTTAGTGATAATACATGATACTAGGGTTGCACATGAGTTGGGTCGGCTGAGTTGAAGACATTTGAACAAACTAACATAATGTTTGTATTTTGAAAAATTTCACCCCGACCAACCCAATCCAACCATGTAGATTGGGTTGAGTCGGTTACTTCGATGCATCATTTTACAATATAGCTAAGAGTTTTGTTTAATCGAAATCAAATCAAAATGAAAACATACAAAAAAAGCTAACCAACTCAAAAAGAACTTGAAAAATCCTACAAATAAGAAAATAAAATTATGGTTAAAATTATAATATAATTTTAAATATAGCCAACTACAAGTCGGTCTAATATATATATATATATATATATATATATATTAATCAAATAGTTAACAATCATATTAAAACAATAGTATAGTAATATATCAGATTCATCAAATTAGATACAAATTACCCTAATCTAATTCCAACCTGATGGATACAAATTGACTTGGTTTTATATCAACTACGTGTGAGATTACCTCGAGTTGAGTTTTCTTTTAGTTTATTCAGGTTGGGTTGGCTGAATCGGGTTTTCTAGTACCGCTACATGATGCATCTCAAAATGGTGTGTACATGTAATTGTTTTTCATTAGGAGGATATAAAATGTTATTACATAAAAATGAGGGACCAAACTGGAAAATATAGCCATGTTATTACTACTAGTACTAGATTGCTAGTACTTCCCATGGTCCTCACAGATTCCGGTCTTTCAATGGCTTTGGCTGCTCGGCCAATTGTTTGCCGTCTTACGCCAAATAAACCAGTGGTTCAAAGAGATGAGCCGGCGGCTCTGCCGGTTCCCTCACTTCCGGTTCAGAAGGTACGGCTGACGGATGCGGCCGCCGTAACAACGGAATACGACGGGAAGATCCTACTGCAGCCAAGGGTCTGTACGCTTAGATCGTACGGATCAGATCCTTTTGGAGTGATGAGGATTCGGACCGCCGACGGCGACGACAATGAGGTGTCTCAGTTTTTCGAGAAGCTTTCGGAGTACATAGAGAGCTCGAAAAAGAGCCAAGACTTCGAAATCATCTCTGGTCGTCTAGCCATGGTATTCTTCGATCCTTCTCTCTAAACCTAATCCGTTTCAACGATATTTGTCAATCTAGACCTAATCCGATCTATTGATTTGGTAAAACTTGCTTCGATTGATCTTCTAGCTAACGATCCTGAGAGCTGTTCAATGATTCGATTGATAATCGATACCGAATCAATAGTAATCTGTTGACAGATCTGTATATTGTTTTACGATATTCCTAATCGGAATCATCGGTACAGATCGTGTTTGCAGGAACAGTGACGATGGAAGTTGTTACTGGTAACTCGTTATTCAGGAAGATGGATTTGCAAGGGATTGCGGAGGCTGCAGGGGTGTGTTTGGGTGCCGTGGCTTGTGCTGCAGCTTTCGCTTGGTTTTCCAGTGCTCGTAACAGAGTGGGTCAAGGCTTCTCCATCGGCTGCAATACGTTTATCGATTCCCTTATCGATCAAGTCGTGGATGGGTTGTTCTATGAAACCGATCTTAGCGACTGGACCGATGAGATTTGAAGAACCAAAAATCGCAGGAAAATGAAGGGATTTGGTGTTTGAGTTATCATCAACTATGTGTAATTAAAGTGTACGGAAATTTGTATAGGTCGATTAGACGGTTTACGTGAGTAGAACTCGGTAAGTTGATATACATAGATACGAAATACATGACCGATAAAATAAAATTGATATAATTACCAGATTATAATTGTATTATGGGTTGTGTTTTCTTTTTGTAAAAATACTGTTTGCTTTTAATAAACCAATTCTATTATTTTGTTTATTTTGAAATTTGTTTGCACGTGTCATAGAATGAAGTACAATCTAGTTAATTAATTAAGGTGGCGTTTGGTTCGCAGAATGATTTATGAATGAATAAAATTTGCCAAATGAATTGGAATCTGGAAAGAATTGAAATGAAATGTTATCAGGTTTTACCAAGTGTTTGGTTGACATAAATGATATTTAATCTGTCTAATGAATTGGAATCTGTCTGTTTGGTTTACAACAGAATTGGAATGAAATGACGGAAAAAAGACAAAAATACTCTTTCTTCGATATTTTTTAAAAAAATTAAAAAATTTAAATAGTAATAACAATAAAATTAGCATTTAATAAGGAAAAATTGTTTACCATTTATTGAATCGTATATAAACATAAAACGTGAAAAAAAAAATCAATCAACCATAAACCAAACAATTCATACAAGTTGACACATCAAATACCCATATATAAATATTGTCACCAACAAGTGTTTACATATAAGTAGAAGTTGTTGAACCATAACATCCAAGCAATATGTAATACAAAAATATTGTTCAAACAATATAGACCGATCATTGGTCTAATATAACCAACAATTATTGTTTTTACCACCAATTGATCATTGGTCTAATATAACCAAAAGATATTGTTTTTATCACCAACTGATCAAGCATAGTTCATGGAAATAACAATTCAAGCAGAAATAACAGTTCAAGCATAGTTGTTGGACCATTCTTGGATGAACTGAATGCACTTACAAAAGCATAAGCAGTTCATAGAAGTTTGTTTGTGTTGTACAATCTGGGTTAGGAGTTTTTTTACCAGTGTGTTAGTCTTATGGTTTGCTCTATTCATATAAGTAGAAACAATTTATAGAAGCGGTTTAGAGAAGCAGGCCAATGGAGTGAACATGACACATTGAGAAGCAGAAGCAGTTCATAGAAGCATAATATAAACAGAAATAACAGTTCATAGAAGCATAATAGAAGCAGAAGCAATTCATATAAGCATAAATAACAGGTTCGTAGATGAGAAATAAGAAATCGAATCAATAAATAGATTCATGTTTGAGAACTCAGAAATCAAAGCAGAAATAACAGGTTCATGTAGAAATAAAAAATCAAAGCAGTAAACATGTTTTGGTTTGAGAAATCGAAGCTGATAACGGGTTCAGGTTTGAGAAAACAGGTTCATAGATGAAAAAACCGACATTTGATCGATGAAAGCAAGCAGAAAGCGTTCGAAGTTCGATCGATGAAAGCAAGCAATATGCGAAAATGAAAACAAGCAAAAAGCAACGATGAAAGAAAGCACCGGCTAGGGTTTAATAGTGGAATGAGAATATTTATGTCATTTAAACACTTTTGGATGAAATGGATTTCAATTCCACCAGATTTACTAAGGAATGATGAATTCCTCAAATTTGGGAATCTTCGGAATTCAATTCCATTCCATGAGCAACTAAATGTTGGAATGAAATTTGGTCAATGAAATTGACCATTCCAATTCTATCCGATTCCGACGTTATTTTATTCACATCCCCTTCTATACTCCCCCCCCCCCCCCC